GGACTTGCCCCCACCGCGCACACCCCCCCCTTGTCCCGCCCTATGTACCCTTGCCCTTGCCCTTGCCACAATTGCTGTTGGTCGTTGGTGGGGACCACCACGCCCGTCCCCTCTTTCCCGTCAATCATCCAACAAAGGCCGACCGCCCGCACCATGTCACCGCTTCGTTCAGCGCAACTGGGAAGAGGGGAAGGGAGGAGGGGCCACCAGCTTGAGAAAAGGCCAAGACGGCCTGGCCAGCTGCATCAGCACCTGCCCCCTTTCCTTCCCGCATCATACTTACTAGCTGGCCTGCCCGATTACATGCGTCGAATGGGAGATCTGTGGACACGAGCCAAAGACCAAGTAGCAGGTGGACTTGGCTCCGCTGTGGCGGGTGCCGCTACGACGAATGGAAACGGCTCGCTTCTCTTCTCGCTTGCTGCTCCATCCCCAGCCTTTTGATTTTTTGCTTAACCGTGGCGAAGCGTAGGGCAGGATCCCCCCCCGAACCGGTGCTCTAGGGGACTTCGGGATCACGTAATCGTCGAAGATGATGCGAATGTCGAACTTTATTTCCAATAATCACATCTTCTTGGTTCACTCCGCCCACTGGCGACGGGTCCGGACGCTCACGCCTGACGCAGATTGCTAGGTGATGGACAAGGGATGGGGCAGGGGGAAGGCCGGGGCCGGGGAAACCCAGTCACTACCACTTCTATTCGAGATTCAATATTTCTGACCTCACCATTACGCCTCGCCACTCGTTCTCGGCGCCGGATGAAGGCATTGGGAGGAGAAAACTGGGCACATGATCCGGTGAGCGATATCAACAATAACTTACCGACCGGGTGCGGGGAGATCTGGCCGGGGAAAGCGGAAAATTCGCTGAGCACCTTGATGTTGCAGCGATTGCCGTGGAGGCGTTAAAGGCACGGAGCTGGCGAGGCAGCAACAATGGCTCCTGCCATGTATTTGCGGCACGCGGCGCACGGCACCCTCGGACTCCACTATTTTGATTTGTTCCTCTGGACCTGCCTTGTGCGGTCGTGAGGGAGCTGCCATCACGCGGCCATCGCCCTCTGCTCGCAAAAGCACGGCAGGCGTGTCCGAACCAGAAGGGCATGGACGCCGTACAGTGCAGGCGCGGGCTGCGGAGCAGACAGCCCGACACGGCAGCAGCACGGTGAGAAAGGCCGGCCAGTCAGGGCGGGCCGGTTGAGACTCACGGAGGTGCTGCATCGAGTGGCAGGTTGAGTGCGCCGCGGCGCGCGGGCGATGTTGGGGGTTGTCTTGCTTCTTTGTATAGCAGAAGCCGCGATATTGGTCCAGCGAACGGCTGTCGTACACCCTCGGCGGGCGGGCCCCTCGAGAGACAAGAACACTGTGTCACGGTCGCTCCGCTCCAAGCCCTCTTGTGCGCCGTTGTCAAATCCCGCTCCACTCATGGCGTGCCAACAGGCAGCAGCCCGTCAGACGTGGTGCGCGTGTGCGCCCCACGGGCTTATGTGTGAGCGGGAATGCCAGCGGCGCCCAGCCATACGCGAGGCGTCGCCATGTCACACGAGCGCGAAAGCGCCGTGTCTCTTTTTTTTTTATCTTCTCGCTCCTCATTTCCCCTTCGTCCTCTTTGCGTTGAGCGCCTGGCGAGCCGGGCGAGTAGGAAGTGCGGTGGTTTTAGGCAATGCACCGCGAGAACAGCGACGGATCGATATGGGAATATCACGCGACCCTCCGCAGTCACTGCCTCACGCCGCACAATCCGCCAGCGGCCAGGATGCATGGCAGCAGTGTGGCGGGCACGCTTCATGCTGGGCGGAGGACGTCGTCGGTGCTGCTGCTGGCCCGGACGGTTCGGCAGCCGGGGGGGCCAGGTTGGAAGCGCGTGTTTGTGCGAGGGTCGTCAACGTTGGTGTCGACCACCGTTGGCAGACGCCCATCCGCGCTCGCGGGCTCCTGTCCCGGCGTGAAGGAGCCTCCGACGGGCTCTAGGAGAGATGGGGCAAGTGGCAGCAAGACGGGCTTCCCAGCCGATGCCTGCTCCCGTTGCCTTAGCCGCACATCGTTTTTCGAAAAGCGGGTAGCGAGGCGGGAAGCAACCTTGCAAGAGGATAAGGCTGGGGGTGCGCAGAGGGGGTGTGGGCGGCGGGGGTGCGAGTGTGTCAGGCGCTGCTTGCTTGCTTGCATGGAGCTTGGCTTGGGCCTGCGGGGTGACGCTTGCGCCCGGGCAGCAGCCAGTGTGTCATGCGAGTGACTGGGGAGGCTGCCGTTTAGCATTCCTGTTACACGGCAGTAGTGTGCGTTCCCATGTCCAGGAGTTATTAGCCCGGGCAGAAAGTTGAGGCGGCCGTTGGTCGCGGCGGAGAGTTGCGCGCACCGCGGCATGGTAGGCATGGTAGGCTAGCAGCCGCTTCAGTAGTTGCTCTGGCTCAAGAAAGGCTCCGTGTCGGTGCAGACGGGGACGGCGCCCTGAATCGCAGCCTGGTCGCGGCGCCGCCGGGCGGAGCTGTCTTGCCGCATGCTTGTTGCGTGCTGCACCGTCTCTGATGTGCAGGGACGGCCGTAGAGCGGCAGCGCAGCGAGCAAAGACTGCCGGCGAGCTAGGATTCGTGCTCGGGCTGTCCCTGGCCGAGCTCTACGGACTACGCTGCCAGGACTCACGACACGTTCGGCGCCCGCACCAACGCTCGCCGGCGCACACCACCAGCTCCGCCAGCGCCCGCCCCGGCACCAGCACCAGCACCAGCACCAGCACCAGCACCAGCACCAGCACCAGCACCAGCACCAGCACTACACCAGCACTACACCAGCTTCCGCGCCGTCGTGCGTGCCGCGCCCAGGGTAGCCTCCACGCCGGCAGCGCGCAGGATTGCCGGCGCGGGCAAACGTAGGCGCTAGGGCGGCCGCGCCCGCTGCCGCTGCCACATGGCTCTCCCCCAGCTAGCACTCGCTCCGCCGTCAGCCCTACACCTAGCGAGAGCCGCGAGAACGGCGCGCGGAGCACACAGCTAGCTGGGATTAGGACCGGAAGATCGCCTGTCAGATCCTGCGCCATGCTCCCTGGTTCCTTGCGGCAATCCCGCCAGCCATGCCTCGAGTGATCTGCCGCTACGGCAAGCCAGCGCCGCCGAACCACCTCCAGCCTTGCTCGACCATTGCCTTCTGCAGCTGGGGGGCCGGCCCGGCGAGGGGGCCACGGGCCTGCTGCGCTCCCACTCCTTTCGAGGCCATGCCACTCCCAACCCGCCGGGTCCTATGGGCGATGCCTCTGTCAGCAGAAGTCTAACGGTTCGAGGAAAGGCGCATGGAGACTCTGCCATGGCCAAACCAGGCCCGCTGCGTGCCAGTGCGCCGCCTGCAGGTAGGCCGCCATGCGAGCCAGGCCCGTTCTCCATAGTTGCTGGTCCTTCGGAAGTAGGCCACCGAGCGCGGATTTACGGACCATCGGCGCACCTCTACGCGCCGCCGCCGCGCGCGCGTGTTCACGTGATCCTTTCTGCCCCGAAAAAATGTTCCAGCCGCCGGGGTTGCATTGACGTCTGCTGCCCGGTCGCGACGCGGCATCCAACCGTCCCGACGCCGTCCTCCCTCCACAGCCTCTCCGATGCAGGTAATGCGCTGCCACGCCTGCCTCTGGCATTGTCTGCGTGCTGTCGTTCGCCGTGCACCGCTTGCGCCCTCCAATGCCCTCGTTCGCCGCGCCCAGATTCAACGACCGCCGAGCCGTGCGCTTGCACTCGCGCTGCAGCGCCGCCGTGACTACGCAACCGAGGCGTACCGCCAACCCGACGCTTTCGACGAGCAGATCGAGAGGGAAGATGCTGCCAAAGCAGACTCCCGCTCTCGCCCTTTCAGGGAGCGGCAAAGGGACCTGTACCATCCGTCGCGGTTCCGACAGGACTTGCGTGACGACATGAGGAAAAGCACAGTTGATCCAGGCCACAGGGAACTGTCCTCTACAGCGAAACGGAGGCTGAAGATGGAGCTCGAATGGACCGGCAATGACCCGCTCAAACTCGCCGATATGGTCCAGAAAAGGTTGTCCAAGGGCGACGTCCAGCCTGTCATGGACTTGGTGCGCTTCGCAAGCAATTCCATGGACTGTGTCGTGAGCTGGAACCACATGATAGACCATCTCATGAACACTGGCCACCCCAACCAAGCACTCAAGGTTTACAACGAGGTGCGACTGTCCATCATCAACCCAAGCCACTTGCTGACCTAGTATCCTCCGTCCAGATGAAGAAGCGGGCACAGAAACCTGATTCCTATACCTATCTAATCGTACTACGGGGCCTCGGAAACCACGCACACGCACCCTCCACCATGGGAAACGCACTTGCTGTGTACCATTCCATGTCTGCACCGAACTCACGGGTTCCCCCGACAACAATGCATACAAATGCGACACTGCGAGTCTGCTCGAGAGCCAACGATATGGACGCCTTGTGGGGTATCGCAGCCAAGTTGCCAGAGAAGGGACCGGGTGCGGCTGACGCCATCACGTACACCACGGTCCTCGGAGCCATCAGACAGGAGGCGCTTTCAGCACCAGCGGGAATGTCGGCGGATGAGACTGCGCAAAAGCGAGAGGCGGCCATAGTCGAGGGGAGGAGGCTATGGGAAGACATAGTAACCAAGTGGCGCTCCGGAGATCTCATCATCGACGAATCTCTGGTGTGCAACATGGGACAGCTGCTTCTGATCGGACAACGGCCGAGAGACTGGGACGACGTCCTGTCTCTCTTTGAACAGACTATGGATATTCCACGGCTTGTGAGGCATCTAGGTGTTGACCGGCAGGCACCTGGCTGGCTTCCCAACACGCCTCCAAGCATGAAGACGGAGGATTCGGCTGAGATTGACCCGACGGATAACACTCGTCGCGGCGGTGAGTTCGACCCGGTCGAGCTCGGGAGAACAGTTGGACGTGGCCGGCGCAACATGGCGTACGCAAAGCCGGGCAACCATTCCCTCTCTCTCATCCTGGAATCTTGTCTCAAAATGAATGCCAGGAAGGCAGCGGATGACTACTGGAGCCTCCTCACCGGTCAAGACAGCTGGGGTATTGTGCCGGACGAGGCCAGCTTGCACATGTTCCTGCGTGTTCTCCGCCAGGCGCGCTCGTCGGCGTCGGTCGTGGAGTTCCTCGAGAACGAGTTCGGCACTCGCATGGGGTTGAAGAAAGCGAAGACGTTCAGGTTGGCGATGAGCACGTGCGTCCGGGACAAGCGCAACCCCAATGTCTTTGACCATGCCAACGTGATTCTGCAGATGATGGGCACCACCCTCGTCGACCCGGATACGCGCACTTTGGTGATGTACACCAAGCTTTTGACGTCCCTTACCAGGCCTGACCAAGTTTTGAGTGGGCTTGGTCGACTGGGCCCTCATATCTCGAACGTAAGGAGCATGCTCAACTTTGGCAAAGATCATGCAAGATGGCCAGTTGCGCCGGAGGACCGGCAGGCGGGGATTGAGTTTCTCTCTGGGATAGTGTCATGCTGTGACAGTTTGTTGAGACCGGGAGAGGTGTCGCAGGAACATCACTCGATGCTCATGACCCAGAAAGCCAGGATACAGGCTTATATCACGAGGACGACACGCAGAGAGAAAGAAAAAAGGCTGGGCACGGATTAAATCATCCAGAAGGGCGGCAAAAGGAGGAGAGCATGGACCAAGCCAATAAAGAGGACGGGGATGAGCGTCATGGCGGGGAAGAGCGATATATATTTAGAAGATGATGGCAAGATTGCATGGATGCCAACTTTGATCTTGTGGCGCGGCATGCATGTATCGTACGGAAGGACATTTGGTCGATGTGGCTGTGGCAGAGGTCCAGACATAGCGCGCTGAGTGCAAGCTGGGTTCCAGTCGCCTCGACTTTAGGGACAATGAGCGGGCGCTGATCAGTCCAGGAGAGAGCGAGCTTGATCTCGAGCAGACATTGCGGAGGCGTCTTGTCCCTTTTTTGAGCATCCAATATGCAGGCGGAGTTGGATCGCTACGCTCGGAGATTGGATCGAAGCATGGTCTTTGCAAGCTGAAAGTGGCGGCCAAGGGGGGACGGCGGGGGGGGCAACGGGAAAGGCAGGCTGGCAGAAACGGCGTCGACCAAGCAAGCGTCGCGCAGCTAGAAGGCTGTGGTTGAGGCGTGTGCAGCACGTGGGCGACAGGGCGTGGAGCGTGGAGCGGGCAGCCGGCAGCGGGCCCGCGCGTAGTAGCGGCCGGGCGTTGCTCGCGGACCCTGGCCCTTTTCCCGCCTGCGCCGCGGTGGGTCATTTAAGCTTCGCGACTCACCTCACCCAAGCTCCTCCAAACCCCAATCCTCCACCCTCTTCTACGCTTCTGACTGCCTCTGCCTTCTTCGTTTCATCTCGCCCCGCATACCACCTTCGCTAGCCTCTAATCCATCATGTCCGCCCCGGCCGACGAGAAGAAGGTCGACGCCGAGACGGCGCCCGACCCGGACCTCACCACCGAAACGCCCGCTGCTGAGCAGGCTGCCGGCGTCACCGACACTACCGCTCCTGAGAAGCCTGCCACTTCCACCACGCATGAGGCTACGAAGCCCGAGGACACCGCCTCCACCGCCATTGACGGTGAGGCTAGCATAACGGACCAAGCCACGAACCCGGAGCTTCCTGCGAAAGATGAGGCCCCGGCAAAGCCCAGTGAGGCGGCTACAGCCCCTCCTGCAAGTGAAGGCCCTGTTTGGCCTGACCTTACCGAGACTCACCCCATCAGCGTCTTGTTGAAGGCGCTGCCAGAGCTCATCACTGAGGCCGATGGCCACGCAGAGGTCTTCGGTATCGACCTCGACCCGGCCGGAACCTTTCACACCAAGCTCATCCTGCAAAAGTTTTTGCGCGCCAATGCCAATGACACCACCAAGGCGAAGAACCAGCTTGGCGAAACCCTCAAGTGGCGGGGTACTTTCAAGCCTCTTGCTGCCCTTGAGGAGACCTTCACCAAGGACCGTTACGAGGGCTTGGGATACGTCATCGAGGCCGAGGGGGTTCCCGGAAGCCCAAACAAGAAGGATGTCATTACCTTCAACATCTACGGCGCCGTGAAGGATAACAAAGCTACTTTCGGCGACACTGAGGCGTAAGTCATCTTGCACATTCTGGAGGCTCATATATGCTCCACTGATGGGCTTGACATAGCGAGGCCGCCGCCTTTGGCCACAAGTCCGAGATGCGCGAGAAGCTCCCAGAACTCGCGCGCAAGCTCTTGCCGGCCAAGCAACCGCTTTCCGCCGAGCAAATCTGGCACGGCCTTGTTTGCCAAGAGATATGAACCCTGTCCTCCACTGTACAGACCTTGCTAACTTATCTCCCACAACAGGTTCTTGCGCTGGCGCGTCGCTCTCATGGAGCTGGGCATCAGGAAGCTCAACCTAGCTGGTGCCACGCAGCCAATTCCTGACTACGGCGCCGGCCCGGACCCCTACCAGGGCATCCAGGTCCATGACTACCTCAGCGTCTCGTTCATCCGCCAGGATCCCAACGTCAAGGCAGCGTCGCGTCGCACAATTGACCTGTTCTCCAAGGTCTACCCGGAGACTCTGAGCCGCAAGTTCTTTGTGAACGTGCCCGCCGTCATGGGCTGGATGTTCCAGGCCTTCAAGCTCATCCTTCCCAAAGAGACTACCAGGAAGTTTACCGTTCTCTCTTACGGCAACCAGCTTGCCGGTGAGCTCGGCCCCAGCGTGCCCGAGGTCTACGGCGGCAAGGCTGGCGCCATCGAGACCATCGGTGAGCAGACCAAGTTCTAGAGGACCAACATGTTGCCGCAACGGGGTTTCCTCCACACACTAATCTCTGTCGTGATCATCAAGCACCACTTCTGTGCAAGCGATGATTTGCATTTTCAAAACTTCGGCGTTGCTCGGGCTGGGGTGATTCAACTTTTCTTTTTTCCTATTTTCGCCTGATACCATGGGAGATTTGCGATCAGCTGAGTTTATTGTCCTCCACTCAGTTCTGCTTTTAATATCTGCTTCTTCTCTTCTGTAGCCGGGTGGATTTGCAGCTGCATGCGATGTGCGAGAACAAGACTAGATTCCGGGTGGGGTGTTTCGAAGATCAATAGCTGTTAGCTGTAGAACAGGTGCGGCAAGGAAGCACAATAGAGTGTCATGTTATTCGCTTCGAGGTCTTTTTTACTCAATATTGCTACAGCAAGGTGAGGTAGTTGAAACCCCGATCCGTGTGTTCTAGTTCACATTCATGTCCAAATGGACACTTTGATTGCAACGCTACTTGGCGAACCGACTTCATGCATCATGCCTTTCTTGAGCACAGGAGCCCACGGCATGTCCGATCCACTCTGACAAACGCACCCAGACTTGAATAAAAGCACAGCGTTCAGCAGAACCATGGACGCTGCCGAAGGGACCGGGTCCCAATAAAAGGCCTCATCGTCAACGGTGACAAGTTCAACGGTTCAACGGCACCCATCTACAAGCATACGCACAAAACCTTGGAACAGTATCTCAGTAGCCCCCCTTGGCACAATAGAACAACACGAGCCATCCACAATTACGCAAACGGATAGTCCACAGCACCAAGACGCCGACGCGGATCAAAAGCAATAAACAGCACTACCTAACAACGTCCCCCCTCCTCTTTCTCTCACTCTCCCTCTCTCCATCTCTCCCTCCCTCCATCTCTCCCTCATTCTCTTACATCCATCAGCGATAGAAGGGCTAATCAAGGAAAAAAAAAAAACAGGAAAAGAAGAAGCAACCAAACGGCGAAACAAACGTGGTGGGTCATTTCCCACCGTCGTACTCTTCCTTGCCAGTGCTCTTGCTGCTCCCGCTGCTACTACCGATGCAGATGCCAAGGGGGCGGAGTGTGATGGAAATGCGGGTGCGGTTGAGCCACGAGAGTCGTCGGGTGGTGAAGGAGGTGGTGTGGGTGGGAGGAGAAGTATGGTAGTTGAGGAGTGCCAGGGCGATCAAGAGACGGGGAGTAGTTGTGGGTGCGAGTGGGAGTGTGAGGGGCGATGCCAAGAGCAAGGGTGGGAGAAAAGGGGATGGTGGCGAGGAGGTGCGCTGTAGGGAGATAGGGGAGGCCATGCGGGCGATAGACCTTGCCGGACAGCAGGGGCAGCAGGGCAGTACGAGGGCGAGGCGAGGATGGTGGTGGATGCCGTTGGAAGATAGGGGTAGTAAGCGAAGGGTAGATATCAGCGGAGGGATGGAATAATGAGGCCACGAGGGTGTTTGTCGAAGGGGTGTATGATAGAGGGCGGAGTGCTAGTGTATGATGTAAGCGTTGGCGAATATCACGACCCCATATTCCCCTAGCCCTCTTCATTCATTTCTTCTCTTACAGAGCGAGTGGCGCAACAAAGAGATGTACGGCCTATAGTGACGTATTTTAGTGCTCACATCAACGCTCAATGACACCATCTTCACGAAGGACACCTTTGGAATTTGGCATATCAGATTTTCGCAGATGGGGCAGTTCATCATCAAAGCTCTTAGTTTACAGTCACCAGCGTCACATTATGAAGATATCATACGTACGGGCCGATGGCACATCCAAGGACAGTTGGAAAGGGATCCAACAAACCTCCAAGGCAAGTTTTAATACTTTTTGTAGGTAACTCCCCACATTAGCTCATCCTTGACCGCTCATTGTCGAGGTTCAAGAAAGAACATGGCTACCGCACGTTTTAGAAACCGCGTCTATTAGAATCGAGAACATGCAAGAGCGCATGACGCGCCTCTTACGCGATCGAACGCCGCGGTAACTGATCCCTTGTTGAGCTCGCCAGCGAAACGACCCAGAAAATTTCAACCCACCTCAATGAGCTCATGCAGTCTCACTCCACACTATGATGACCACGGAGACGCTGATCTAAAGCTTCAGCATTTACTTGGTTTTCATATCATCAAATTTGTGGTTAAGTACAGCACGAAGAAGAGCCAACAAAGACAGGCAGTTCAAGCTATATTATCCGTATTTATTCGGCTCCCGCTGGGCAAGTCATTGCTGGAGAATATCGCGTAAAGGCGCATAAAATATAGAAATACATACTATACTTCGTAAAAGGATATGAAGTTAACCTCGTGGTTCCCGCTCGTCACGGAACGAAAGAAATGTCATGCCAAATGTCAGAGCAGAGCGGGAGGGAAAGGAATCAGTAATCTTAAGACTGTCTAACAAGAGATAACGCATCATGCTTACGTCAGGCGAATGCTATATCTGAATGTTTTGGTAGTCTCAAAACCCACAACACCGCGTAATTAATATTTGCTTCAAGCACTTACATGGAAAGAATGCAGCGCCCTTCACAGGCACAGGTAGGTTCACGTCCAGAAACTGGATTGTGGTAGGAAAAGTGAACATTTTTGCCGCGTTTTACATTTCTCAAGCCAAGCATGCGTGCGCCTCGTTGCATCTTAAACCACAAATCAGAACGCCCAAAGCCAAGGTATAGCAATGCGAAAGAGCAGCATCAATCACCCTTCCGTTTACCGTGCAGCCCGATTCCATCCCAAAGCAATATCCATATCATTACCCCATTCGTAGTTTTGCTCGTGTGCGCAAAGAAAACATAATGACCTAATCAATCTAAGCCAAACGGAAGCGACCAGCACCAACCGCCATCCAGCCAAGCGCGGGTATCACAAAGTAGCCATGCCTATCCCATGTCTTCACTGCGCATCTCCCTCCTTCTATCGAGGGGCTCTACACCTCCTTCCCCTTTCCCTCTCCGCCCCCATTCAGCCCCTGATCCGCCCCCTCCGGCAATGGGACCGTCTTCGGATCCGGCAGGTCCAGCACCGACGGCAGATCGACCACTCTCGAATCGGTACCGCTCGGTTGCTCATGGATCGTGATGGGCGGCTCATAGCTGCCGCTGCCGCCGCCGCCGCCGTCCTGTCCATCGGAAGGACCTCGACTCGAATGCATCGAGTCCGACGGGCCGGCAGCGGCACCATCGTCGCCAGAGCCGGGAGGCCTGGTGCCGGGGACGAGCACGATCTTGGGCTCGATGCTGATGTCGGACTCGGAGGACCGAGCGCTGGCAGCTTCGCGCTCGAGGCGGACCTCGCGGCCGCGCTTGTGGCAGTAATAGAAAACGAAGAGGAGGACTAGATCAGCAGCGTTAGCGCCGGCCCCATCAATATGATAAGATGAAAGAGGACAAGAGGAAAGGGGAAAAGAGGAAGATGTTGTGAGACTTACTGAACACAGCCAAACTCATCAACACGTTCGTTCCAGTCACGACGGCCGGGAAACGTAGCTTCAAGAAGTTGAGGATGGCTCTGAGCATGGCGGCGATGGCGCCCTGTTCCGACACAAGCTTCTTCAGCGGCGGATACTTCTTCGCGTACTTGTAGCCCTGCTTCGCGTACTTCTGGCTCTTGCCACCTGACTTGGCGCCACCCTGCTGTGCGCTCGCACTTGCGCCCTGGGCATGCAAATGAGCGTCGGGCTTCTCTGCGGCGACAGCCATCAACTCTGGAGCCAAGGCTGCCGTGACCTTTGTGGGCAGCTGCTTGATGAGGTTCTGCAGGAAGGGCGGCAGCGAGCCGTACATCTTGTCGAGCTGCTTCTCCGAGTCCTTGAGCAGGCGCTCCAGGTCGTTGTAGGCGTGCGGCGCGCCGTTGACCAGGTCCTTCAGCACCAGCTTGAACTTCTCCAACAGCTCCTGCGACTCCTTGCTGAAGCTGAAGACGCGGTTGTTGACAGCGGCCAGGTTGAGCTGGTCCAGTACTTCGGCCAGGTCCTGCTTCTCCTTGGCCGTCTCGGCCTCGAGGTTGATACTGCCGTCGGGGTTGAGCTCCACGCCTCTGCCATTCTTGACCGTCTCGGCGGCAGCGGCCAGCGTGTCGGCGGCTTGGGTGGTGTCGGTCCTGGATCGACGCAGGCTCTGTGGATGTTCGCGTCAGTCGTGCTCCGGGACTGGGCGTGCAGCGAAGAAGGAGTGTATGCCTTACCTTTGCGCGGGTGGGGATGTCAGGAACCCAAGACCAATAGTTCTTCCTCTTGTTGCCGTCCTTGGCGTCAGGCGTCGTAACGGGCGGCGACTGCGGCAGAGGAACTTGGTCCGCGCCGTTCATTAGAGCTATCTGCGCATCCTTTCCCTTTGTCTGCGTCTGAGCGACAGGGTCCTGCTCGGCGACGATGGGAGCTGTGGCGGCTTTCGGTCGTGCGGGCAGCGGCGGCGGAATCTCTTCCTCTTCCCCTTCACCCCGCGAGGTTATCCTCTCCAGGAAAGCCTCCTCCTCTGCGTTCAGGATGGGTGACTTGGGCTCGGTGGCGCCCTGGGCTTCGGCAGCTGCCTGGGCGGCGGCGGCGCGCTCCTCGACCTTCTTGTCGCGATTGGTCTTGAACTTCTTGATGGCGAAATATTCCAGCATGGTTGCGGGACCAGCAGGTGGATGGGTTGCGGAGGGTGGGTTTTATCAGGCGTGGCGAATTCTTGGAGAGAGACAGAGGGTGATTTAGCAAGGCGGGGGTAGTTGTTCCACCAGATGGTTGCGAGCAGTTGACGTAGGGTATGCGAAAGGTGCGGCGTGCAAGCGTTGCGTTGCCAGGCTCTGCGACGTGTAACGGCATGTGATGGCGAGCCTATCAAGTTGGCGCGCCATGACGATCGAGCGCATGGATGGCGACTGCCCACTGCCTGCCTGTGGCGTTTGAGGGGCGCGAGATCTTGGTCGCGCTGCCACCGGCGCCGCCTTGGGCGAGACCGACCCCGACCCTTGCCCCGCTTGCGTCATGCGAATGTGCACAGCCCGCTCGCCTCTTTCAACACCACCACCACCGCCACTCCACGGCTATCTCCAGCCTCCCCTTGGGGTTGAGGCTTATACGTGCCTCAGCAAACTCACTGCAAGAGAAACTTTGAGAGAAATTTGACAGTCGCGTATCATCAGTTCGTAGTCGCACCGAAACCCCACTGAAAGGAGAGACACACGCATGCCATCAGCCCAGGAAATTGACATGTAACTAACGCCCCGACATATTGCGACATGAGAGCCGAAAATAGGTATACGTCGCGGTAAGCTACGCCGCGCTAAAAAACAAACAAACAAAAAAAACAGCACACATACCGGGACTGCATGCATCAGCCAGTCTACCAAGCCTCCCATTTCTGCCCACCCATGGCCACCAAGCGATTGAACAGCTCGTCCCTCAGCGGCAGCGCCGTCACCTTCCACACGGCACCCGTCTTGTCCGTAATCTCCAGGCCGTCAGCCACCTCCCTGTTCATCGCCCAGCCCACGACCAGCTTGGTCTTCCACCCGTAGCCGCCAATCTTCTTCAGCTCCCGGATCTCCGCCACCGGCACGCTCCACGCCGGGTGCACGGCATCCTTGGGGGTGCTCTTGCCGCTGCCGCTGCCGCTGCCTTCGCTCTCGCTGCTTCCCCGATGACGATCCATCTTCGCCCGCTGCTGCCTCTCCACCTTCTTCTCCTCGGTGCTGAACGCCACGCACGGGATCGTCGCCTTCGTCGTGATGTACACGGCGCCCCTCCGGCCGTGACACCTGCCCTTGAAGCTGATGGGCCCGCTCTTGCGCTCGCCCTCGCTGCGGCGCTCCGCCACGCCGAGGCGGTCCTTTGCCCTGTCGGACCCCGTCTTGGCCTTGACCTTGTCGGCGCCGATGGCCGTCTCGACGACGCCCTTTGTGGTGCCGCGGAAGAAGTTGAGGATGCGCGACCCCCTGCGGCCGTGCGCCTTGGCCTTGGCCGCGTCGATGTCCCCGCCCGCCGTCTCGTGCGCGACGCGCTCGTCGGGCTGCGCCATGGCGGCGTCGAGCTCGGCGGCCGTGGCGTTGAGCGGCGGGTCCGCGCCCGTCGAGCGCAGCTGGTCGTCCGTGACGGCGGCGGGCGCGTCGGGCGGCGGCGACGAGGCCGAGGGCGGCGGCGGGAGCGGCGCCTTGTTGGCCTCGCCCACGCGGAGCAGCGTGAGGGTGAGCTGCGCGTTGGTCGGCACGCCCTTGAGCAGCGTGTTGCGCATCTCGAGCAGGCGCTGCCAGTGCGGGAAGGCGTGGTTGAGCCAGGCCAGCCCGCGCGCGATGACCGGGTCGCCGAAGAAGCCGAAGCCGGCGCCGAAGGTGATGCCCTTGACGAACATGTACGAGGTGATGAAGAAGGACATCAGGAGGAGCGGCGCCACGACCATCGCGAGGCGGAAGCGGTATGTGTTTCGGGGGAAGGGCGGGGTCGGAGAGAGGGCGCTGCGAGTCTTCGTCAGTCATCTATGTCGAGGTCGAGTTGAAGAGGGGGTAAACCGTACTTTGCAAACCTCTCCCACGTGTCCGTCACTTCTGCGAGTCCGTGCATGACGGGCCTCATCTTCGACCACATAGCCGTCTCCATGGGCACCTTCGTTTTGTCGTGCTTGGCCGTCGGCTTATCTCCACCGGCCGCGTCCTTCGCATTGGCAACTCCCATGGCAAGAGCGGTGGGGTCTGGCGTTGTATCCTGAGGCGAGCCACCCTCGGCAGGCGGATCCGCCTGAGGGTGCTTGCCGGCGACGCTGCTGAGAGTGACGGAAGCGAGACCGTTGACGAAGTTGCTCGCCTCTTGCTCGACCGCCTCGCCCTTGTGGTTCTCAGGCGCGCCAGTTGCGCTGTCATGGCTGCCCAGTACGCCCGCCTTCGGCTTCTGGACGCCGCCCGTCTTTGAGTCCACGAGCGCAATGGGTGCCGGCGGGAACAGGAAGTCCCGCGAAGGAGGGTACGCGATCAAGGTGACTATGGTGGCGGCAAAGAGAGGCACCAGGCAGTCAAAAATCCAAGCGACGAAGTAGGCCTGGAGCGCATCGGCTTAGCAAGAGTCCCCGGCTTCCAGACAAGCAGGCTTTGCTGCCACACTTACCGTGCAAAACCAAGCCGTTCTCCTCGTCTCTCTCCAGCTCCTCAGCCTCGCGACCTGCTTCCCCGCACCCAGCATCCCGATAATCACCGTCATGTACAACCTCTCCACATTCGCCCTCAACTTATCCGGGCTGAACTCCTCCTCCTCCGCAATGTTCAAGTCCAAATTCCCCGGCACCGGCCTGTCGTACTGCTTCACGTGGTAAATCTGCTTGTTGAAGCGCCGCACCAGCAGCCACAGCTCGTCGTTGTCCATGCCGCCCACCAGCGGCTCCACAATCTCCTGCTTCGGCTCGTGCCAGCCCAGGTTGACCACCTCGGCGTCGTGCGCGCGCTGCGCCGCGCCCTTGTTCGCCGCCGCCGTCGTTGCCGTCGCCTCTTCGCCGTTCATGGGCGGTGCTACGGCTTCCGGCTCGGCGTCGCCCGCCATGGCGAGGGCGTGCGACAGCGTCGGCTCGTCGCGGAGTGTTGGCGCCGCGGGCTCTTCCTTGAGCGGGTCCGTCGTGGCTGTCGTGTCTGAGGGCACGGGGATGGGCAGCAGGTCTTTGTAGACTGCGCCTGGTCTGTTGTTGTTGTCCGCCATGGCGAAGAGACGCTGGAGCGACCCCGATGTGAACGTATGTTGGTGGGATGGGGGGACTTTTGGTGGGTAGTAATAGACAAAGGCTACCAATGGAGCCCCTCCAGAGCACAGAGGTGGGGTGACAGGGTAAGAGAAAGCAGGTAGCCGGTTGTATCACAGCAGGCGGAGAGTGTGGGCGGGCTTTTGTCCAGTCCTCTCACCGGCGAACAACGCACCTGCCTTTCCCTTTTTCTTTTTCCTTGGACAGCACGCGCAGATCCATAATTGCGCAATGATGCCGTGGTACCGCAGCTAGCCGGGAGCACACGACAACTTTATGCTCAATAAGGCAGTGACAGGTTGCTCGATGGGGTTGCAGACAATCCAGTGGCTTGTGCCGGTGTGCCCATGATGACGTATGCGGCTGTCACACAGGCGCCATTAGTACTCCTCCTTCACGGAGAAATGCGGCGGCATGGGAAAGACGGCTAGCGCCCGTTCCCCTGAGCATGACGACGCGCGTGGAGATGATGAAAAGCCGATTGCGTTGCTCGCAAGCCGATCTGGGGCGTGATCCACGTCGGGGATGCCCGGCTGCATACGGCAACTATGATGTCGACAAGCCTCGGATCGACGCCGCCATCCCAGTCGCCCATCGCTCAGCTCGGGGGCCCCCATCAGGGCACGGGCTGCCCAGCCGTCATCGCTGAGATGCACACTTCAGCCTCACATGATAATGAAAGAGGAGCAACTGCTTTATCGCCCACACTACTGCTCTGAGAACAATCAACACGCATAGTGCCTCTCCCAATGCCCTTTATCTGGCTTCCGTTTCTTTCCAAAGAGACCAACGCCACAAACGCCATCTTTGCAACACTTCGTTAGATGTTAGGAGAGAGGAGATCGTATTTCACGCATGCTTCCACCTGCATAATATCAGTATCCAAATCAATCAGTGAACGGCAAACTGCACTTACACTTTCGACCGAAGCCCGCAGCCAACTGCGAGCTTCCAGTCCAACCCAAACCTTGAGCATGGAGAAGTCCGCATTGCGGACCATGCCTCTGCCGCCTTGAGTGCCCAGTTGACGCAGGATAGGCAATGCCCTGCAACACCGTCAGCATCACGACCTTCCCCCAAGCTTGCACATCCGACTTACCCAGCGAAGAGATCCATGTCCGGATCCAACTGCCTGCCAATTCCCTCAAGCAGCAGTATGCTCAAAACAACGTTGACGAAGTCACCTTCAAGCCTGACGTGGTGATTCCTGACCATGGTCAACACCTCGTTCAAGATGTCACCGATCTTGATGTTGCCAAGAGCAAAAGTGCGGCTCTTCACACCCAACACCAGATGCTGCATCTTCAAAGCAAAGACTTCCTTGTCAAGGACGGCCTCTGGCTGCCTGCACCTCTCAACCATCAAATGGCCCGACTTGTAGCCGTCGAACTCGGCCACTGCCTTGAAAAGGTCCAAAAAGTTGGCGCGGTTCTTCTCGTTCAGCTCGGTAACGAGGCCGGTGTCGATGAAGATGAGTTGAGGGCGGTAGCCTTCATTGTCGATTTGCTGGAGTTCCGAGTTCCACTCCTTCAGCTGGCCCTTGAGTGGCCTCAGGCGCTGGAGCACTTCCTCGGTCACGTCGGTTGAGTTGTTGACGGCTTCGGGCGTCTTCTTGATCTTGAAGTGGGGGATGTCTGGCGTTTCCGGCTTGTAGAAGCGGACCATGATGTTACCGGGATGCAGGTCGGCGTGGATGAAATTGTCGATCAAGACCATGTGCAAGAAGGCATTCAACCCCTCATCCGCAATTTCCTTCCGATACACGCCCCCACCGTTCTGCAGGAGATCCTCAAGAGCAATGCCGTGGGCAAACTCCTCGACAAGCACCTGCCGTGTCGTGTACTCGTTGTAAGGGAAAGGGAACCACGCAGTCGTCCGCTCCTTGAAGTTCCGGCGGAAAATGGTCAGGTTTGCGCCTTCTATCCTGAGGTCTAGCTGCAGTCGCATCATCTCGGAAAACTGTTTTACTTCATCCGGGAACGAAAGCCACTCCATGGTAGGTATCGCGTTGATTACGTTGGCAAAGAACATCATTATACGCAGATCTCTCCGGACAACCTTTTCTATGTGCGGATGTAGGACCTTGATGGCCACATACGACGATGGGATGCGATGCGGTGTGCTCTTCAGCGTCGCGCCGACATTCTTCTTCAGAACCTGTCGGAGGTTTTGAGGCTCATCGACATCCGACGCGACAGGTGCCGTGATTTCCGGCTTGAGCTTGGCCTTGTAGACCTGAGCGATGGCACCAACCCCAAGCGGCTTTTCATCGAACTCTTCGAAGATGTCCTCGAACTTTCGTCCGTCAAACGCCCTCGATACAATGCGTTTCGTATCATGCAGGGAATGTGCCGGCGCGTTGGAATGGAGAGACGACAAGTACTTGCACAATTCGGTAGGGAAAATGTCCGTCCGTGACGCTGCCCATTGGCCGAGCTGGGGGATAGTGGAGTCAGCAAAACGCAATCTGCGTGGCGGATGCCGTTTCTAGACCTGCCTTGATGAAAGCCGCCCCAGCTCTTTCCATACTCCTAACCAGGAATGCATACCACCACAGCGTACCGCGTCTCTCGTTGTCCCGATCGGCCACCCTATGCCCAATCCAAATGGCCGGCACAGTCATGATGACGGGCACGAAGATGACGACCAGGTGTACGAAGCGCAGGCCGGTCGCCAGCGGCTCCCAGATGTACTTGTTGAAGAAGAAGTAGACACCTTTGCGGAAGCCCTTGGAGTTCTCAATGACCTTGGGCACCTGGCTCCGCAGCTCCGCCCGCGACGCCTCGAGCATGAGCTGCTCGCCGGTGCGCTCATCCTCGTCATTGCTCTGCTGCGACAGCGCGACGAAGGCGCCGGGGCTGAGTGCGGCGCTGGCGAAGAGCAAAGTGCGGCCACCGAAGCGCGAGTGCGGAGGCGCGCGAGCCAAGGAGCTGTATGTTCTGCCCGTCGGCCGGGAGGAGAAGGGAGTGCGTGCGGATTGGCGGATGCCAGATCTTGCGAAGGCGGAGCTCACGGCGGCGGCGGGCTGGCCGGCGCGGAGGTGCGGGCGGAGGCATTGGCGGCCATGTAAGAGGACCGTCCTCATAGTCTCGAGGGGGCGGGGCGAGGGAGGGATGCTGGCTATGAAGGGTCGGTAGCCATGGACGCTCGCAGGGGGAGTGATGTGGCAGAGGAGGAAAGCGGCTGTTGCCTCCAAGGGAAGGAGACGGATCGGATGACGTCGAGATTGTTCAGCCGGCCGCGCCCGCCATTCTCCGGGCAACTCCCGAGCGTCCTTTACTGGGGCTCAGCTCACGGCCAGCTACTCTGCACACACACACGCATATCATTCATTCTAAAAAGTCAACTAACACACAAAACGCCCGCCAGCTCTGGAACTCAGTCTGCCGTCTTCCATCTAGAGACACCCAGCTGCTCATGCCGTCACAAAGCCTTCGAAGCCATTGTCCAGCGCCTTGCGACACTCCCGCGAGTACAGCGGGATGCCGCCAGCGTAGCTCAGCTGCTCCTTGACCTTCCCCGGGACATTCCCGCCCATATACCAGCTGTTGACGCCATGGAAGAGCGTGGCCTTGCTGAGCTCCTCGACCTTGTCGTGCCACTCGCGCACGCTGGCCGTCGTGGGGTCGATGTAGCTGATGCCCTCCCTCCTCATCTTGGCCATGGCGTCGATGATCCAGTCGGCCTGGTTCTCGACGCAGCTGGGCCCGTTGCTGAAGGCCGTCGGCCCCTGGGCGCCGTACAGGAAGAACATGTTTGGGAAGCCCGACAGCGTCATGCCCAGGTGGCTGTACGTGCCGTTCTTCCACTTTTCGTCGAGGTCCACGCCGTTGACGTCCTTGAGGCCCATCGACTTCATGCCGCCCGTGACCGAGTCGAAGCCGGTGGCCAGCGCGATGACGTCGAACTCACGCTCCGTGCCGTCCGCCGTTTTGATGCCCTTCTCGGTGACCTCGACGATGGGCGTCTTCTTGACGTCGACAAGCTCGTTCTCGGGCCGGTCAATCATCTCGTAGAAGTTTTGCTCGAGCGACGGCCGCTTGGTTCCATATGGATGCGGCTTCTTGAGTGGCGCGAGCATGTCGCGCTTGACCGGGTCCGTGATGCGTGCACGCGTCTTCTTGACCCAGAAGCTGTATGCCTCGTCGTTGGCCTTCTCGTCGAACAGCATGTCCTTGTACGTGCCGAGCCAGAAGAAGAAGCCACCCTTCTGCCAGAGCTCCTCGAAGAAAGCCTCTCGTTGCTCGGGCGTGTCGTCCAGGGTGTTGCGGTCGACGAAGTCCATTGGGAAGCCCGAGAAGGTGGTCATGCGGTTCTTGTAGATCTCGGGGTAGTCCTTCTTCTGCGCCTCCTGCTCCTCCTTGGTCAACTTCCTCTGGCGCATCGGTAGGCAGAGATTAGGCGTGCGCTGGAACACCGTGACGGACTTGGCCGTCTTCGCCGTCTCCTGTGCGATCTGGATGCCGGTAGAGCCCGTGCCGATGACTGCTATCCTCTTTCCAGCCACGTCAACGCCCTCAGTGGGCCAGAACGACGAGTGGTGCATGGTGCCGTTGAACTTGTCGAGGCCAGGCCAGTCAGGGAAATAGCGCTTCGCAGCAAACCCCGTGGCGCAGATGAAGAACTTTGAGTGTGCAGTCCGGCCGTCTTCCGTCTTGACAACCCACCTCTGCGACGGCTTCTCAAACTGTGCGTGTACGACCTTTGAATCAAAAGCGACATCCTTCTTGATGTCGAGCTGTTCGTCGACGAACTTGAAGTACTCGCGCAACTCGCTGTAGTCTGGGTATTTCTCCGTCCAATTCCAGTTCTGAGCCATCTGGTCAGCCATTATATGCTCTCCTGGATCGATACTGGGTTGGCGCTAACCTTCCAGAGCTTATCAATGCTGTATTCGTACACCGGGACCATCGAGTCGACACGCGCGCCAGGGTAGCCGTTCCAGTGCCTGTTTGTCGCCAATCAGCATTGGATAGTCGGGACAATTGGATCCGAGATGATGCTTACCAGATGCCGCCAAGATCTTTGCCCGCCTCGAGGATCTTCACCTTCATACCGTACTCGTCGCGGAGCTTGTGTAGTAGGTAAACCCCGCCGAAACCAGCGCCGACGATCAGGACGTCGACATCGAGGTTATCCGCATGGTTGTTTGTCTGCTCAGCCCCCGTCGGCTGACCCGCGCTGATATCTCTGCGAAAAGCCATAGCTGCGGAGAACTCTGTCGTAGACGTCGGACTCCGATTGTGGGAAGGAAGTGATTCGAGAGCGATGAGGATAGGAACGGAGAGAGCAAGCAGATTGGAGTGAGAGTATTAGACCAGACAAGACGGCCGCAAGTCTACTTATACGTGTGTCGATCTCCGGATAGCTTTCCCCAATTTCCGCACCGCCTCCCCCACACGCATATGCATGCGTGTACGCCGGAGCAGCGGGTGCTCTCTAAGCCAGGAACGCCCGCGAGGGATGGCATGGATGACGGGGGGGCACGTGTTGTCGGCGCTTAAAATTGCTGTTTTGCAGACTGACATGGTAGCATTCGAGACCATTTCCCGCCGCCCGTCCTATCGGAAGGTAGGTATACGGCCTCCCAAAGCTTGACCTCCCTGATACTGCAGAGAAGTCCCTGCACAACAATGCCCGGCAAACTTCCCTCGGGATCTCATCTCAGCGGAGCCGCAGATTTAGTCGAAATCACCGGCGGCAGGGCCCTGGCCAAGTTTCTTTTTCGGACCACGACGCATGTTTGACGTGTGCACGTACAGCCTCTTACCCGACGATACGAAAAACCAAAGCTCGGTACTTCCCAAAACCGCCCATTCCGGCGCCCGGAAGTGCCGTTTACACGCAAGTTGGTGTGCGTGTAGCGTGGCAAAGGGCAATGGTGGCGGGCGGACACTAGAGGAGGAGCTGGAGGTGCGGGGTAGATAGGCAGAGGAAAGCGGGGGTGGGTCCATCCGGGGTAAGTAGTAGCCGTGAGCCTAACGTCAACCACTCGACTTATTTCCGGCCACCAACCGCCATCGTGACCATTATTGCTCTTGGCTAGTGGTTCTTTCAGGCATGATACTTGCGGGATTGTACATATCGGAGGTTGGCCGCGAAGGTAGCGTCAGTGGCGGGCAAGTCTGCCGGCTGGCCCAGCCACAAGGGACGTTGACTATGCGATAGAGACACGTTCTGGCTGGCGGGCGAGTGCGTGCCGAGCGTTGCCAGTGACGCGGGCCATGCGGAGCCGCTAGTGGAGATGCAGACGTGACTTGTTCTATGGCTGCGGCAAAGGATTCGTAACGCTGGTGGATCTGTTGGGGAGAATAGCAGGTGACGTCTCAGTCCTCTGATGCTCCCTGATCGAGCGACAAGCACATCGCCCGTGTCGTCAAGGGGCCGAATTTTCATTGTTGTTGAAAGGTAAGCGTGGCCGTTGCAGACCAACAGCGCTATCCAAAGCCATTGCCGCATTAGTTGCATATGGCATTTTGCTAGCCACGAACTGTCCCTTCCAGAGCTACAAAAAGGATCGACACTGGGGAATCCGGGGCTAGGTCTGTCCCAACACGCCACAGGGCTTCCCCGTCTTCTCGAGTCAACTAGTGCCACTTCTCGCTCGACATGAGAAACCTGTGGGGGTCACCATGGGCGCGGACGAAAGGAAGCCATGGTGAGCAGAGCCCCCGTCGCCGAATCTTCTTAGTAGTCTGGCTGGAATGCGAGTCTGAATAATCTCGGTGACATGTCTATCATTCTGCGGTACCGCATTTGTGGGGCTGTACTCTACTGACTACCTCTGGTATGCGCTGCCAAGTCTCCTCTCCACCACGGTCGATAGTTCGTGAGTCTAAGTGAGCATTTTTTGCATCCTCGAGTCTTGCTGTAGCCACCCGATTGTACCACCTCCATTCACCCGACCACCCTTCCCCATCTCCTGCTCAGTGACCTACCATCGAGCTTGCTCATGGTGCCCTCCCCACGATGCACCTACTCGCTGTCTGTCTCAGCCGTCTTGGCCCTAGATCTCTTCGCCCTGCCTCTCTTCACCGGCCCACGCTTCGCCAGCGCCTCTCTGACCGTGCCGCCCCTCTTCGCCTTCATCTCCGCCCTCCTCTCCTTCTCAGCCGCCACCAGCTCCTTCAGAACCCCATCCTCCCACTCCCTCGCCTCCCTCTGCGCCCTCTCCAAGTCCGCCTCCCAAACCGCCATCAACCTCCTCCTCCCCTCCGCCCTCTCAAACTCGGGATCCCCAAAATCCCTCTCCGTCACCGCCGCCCCGCTGCTCAACTCCCCATACCTCCCCTCGCACGCCTCCGCCGAGTAGAAAGCCCCCGGCAGCCTCTCCGCCACGCAAAACGCCACGTCCGTGAACAGCCTCGCGCGCAGCCGCGCCATCTCCCTCTCCTGCCGGCGCAGCGCGTGCGCGTGCGCGTCCATCAGCACCGCGTCTTCCTCGGCGCTCCAGCGGCGGCGGCGCGTGCGCAGCGCCGCGTCCGTCTCGGCCATCTTGGCCTCGCGCAGGCGGCGGTACCGCGTCGAGATGGTCTTGGGGTCGTACGTCGCCAGCCCCTTGTCGCGCAGGAGCGTGGCGATCCCTTTGTCGCCGTGGCCCGCCGCCTTCATGCTGAAGATTGTCGTGTCGACGGCGTCGAGCGTGGTGCCGATGGCGCGGCCGCCCTTGGCGAAGCCCCGCGCGCGGGGGTTTGGGGCTGTGCGGCTTGAGGCGGTGGTGTTGTGGGTGGAGGTGGTGGCCGAGGTTGAGTCGCGCTTGCCGGTTGCTGCTGCGAGAGGCGCGGGGAGGGAAGTGGCTGGGGTCTGGGGCTTGTCGTCGTCGTTGTCGCCTTGGAGCTGATAAGATGGTTTAGATATTATTCTTCCAGAATGATGTAAAAAACTGTACCTCATAGGCGTCGACGCTCTCTTCACTGTCGTAGCCACTGTGCGAGTTGCTATTCGTGCTGGAGTCGTTGTCAGAGTCAGACTCGTCCATGACCGGTGCTACGTGATGATTGTCCGCCATTGGATCGATGTTGCCGCCCAGGTCCATCTCATCTTCCATGGCGTAGATCTCGCAATCATCACTTTCCAATCCATCTTCTACCTCGGGCTCCCTGTCTTCATTTATGCCCTCGCTGAACAGCGGATCTTCATGAGAAAAAGCTTCGTGCGTTGAAAGCTTCGGATGATTAGCTGGGTGACATTCGACGTTCATATTAGCGGTGAGTGGAGCAGCGGGGTGAAATGGCTTCTGGTCGGGGTTGCCACGGCTCGATCCGCGGCGTCCCATGTTTGGGGCAGAGTTTTTTTTCTTGCTTGCGGCGGGATGGCAGGTTTTTGAGTTGTTCGGGGTGAGAAGGATTCAGAGAGCTGGAGCTGTTCTTAAATACGGGTAACATCAGGATCCGTCCTCCTGTGGCAGGTGTGGCTAACACTCCAAACCAAAATGGAAATTCCGCCCACACGAAAATTGTCAGGTGAACGGGCACCAGACTACACTCAACCCTCGTGGCACCTTAAGGTTTTTTCATTAGAGAATACTTGCTCGACCACAGAGAACCTTTTCGTGTGATCATGAGCAACCAACAAATGTCTAACCCAGCTCTACGTTCCGTTCATTTCCTGTGCTCACCATGTGTAAGAATTGCCCAAATCATGCTCCTGTAGATATACTGTCAGCTCAAGAATTCAGCCGCTCACCCCTTCGAGTTCAACTCACCTTGATATAATCGCCGCCCTTCTCCGCCCACTCCGCCTTGCTGACCCAACTCTTCTTACTCTCCCCACTCTTCGCCCACCTCGCAGCGCCCCTCCAAGCGTCCAGCACCGGATCCTTTGCCTTTCTCACCACCAACTCCGCATCAATCGGCAGATACGCCCTAAGATCATCCCGCAGTCTTTCCTCGAAGCCCTTGAACAACGTGTTACCACCCGTGAGGAAAACATCCTTCAATACATCCTTTTGGCGGGGATGGTCCGCGAGGCGCTCGGTTAGGATACTGGACGCTATCTCTACGATGCCAGCCTGGTCAAGGCCGGCGATAGAAGGCTGGAAGACGACCTCTGGGACGCGGATGCGCTCGACATTGAGGTGGATCTGGTGCGCTTGGCGCTGTGACTCCGGGTCGAACGAGTATGGCCCGTGAGTGAAGGAATGAAGGAGGGACTTGGTCCAGTCCATCTGCGCATCGCGGGTGCTGTCCTCGGTGAACTTGGGGTCGTGCTTGAGAAGCTGAGATTCGATGGATTTGAGCGACGTGTTGAGGTCCTCTTCTTCCTCGTCGTCCGACCCTTCGCCCGTGGCGATGGTGCGGTACACACCCCAGTCGGCATCGTCGGCTCCGAATGTGTCTTCGTCAGCGCCGCGACGACGTTTCTTGTTGGGGGTATCAGAAGCGAGATTGGCGATGCTCTTCATGCGCATTTGTGCGGCGAGAGACTTGCGGTTGCCCAGGTCGGCTTTCAGGCGTTCTCGGTCCTTGATCTTCTGAATAATGGCCTACCCGCTTGTCAGTTTTGAGAAATCACAAGGTTGGATTTGAGAGACGGACCTGGCGCGCCACTCTTCTTTCCTCGATCCAGGTTTCAGGGTCGTTCTCTCTTCTCTCATTATCCAAGCGCTCTTCTTCCGCAATCCTGGCCTTTTCACGCTCCTTTTCGGCCTTTGCACGCTGGCGAGCCTCATAGTTAGACTTCATCAACCGCTGCTGGCGCTTCTGCTTCAGACCCTCCTCATCAAGCTGGTCATCCGGCACATCCACGAGCGGGAACGTCGGCGGCTCGTTCTCTTCCTCTTCCATGTCGCCGACATCCTTGTTTCTAGCCTTCCGGATGGACTTGTCCAGCTCCCTTATCCTCTTCTCCAGCTGCGCCTCGTCATCGAAATCCTCACCTTCCAGGATGCGTTTCCCCTCCTTCTTGGTCGTTTCCGAGAGCCTAGTCTGGAGCTCTTTGTAGTACGCCAGCTCCTGCTCCTTGGCAATCAGCTTCTCCAGTCGCATCTTGGCTGCTTGTTCCTGCAGTCTTCTGCCGCTCTCTTTACGTTTCTCCGCAGCTCGCGCCAGCTCCTCCTCCGTCTTCTGCACCACCACCTGCTCTGTGAAGGGGAACTGGATGACATGGTTCCGTTCTTCCAGCCCAGTCCAGTCAAGATATTTACTTAGCTCACCATCGTAATCTTGTGATACGTAACAGTGCTCGCGGACGAGGTCTTCGGCTTGGACATCAGGAAGCTTGCCGGGGAAAGTCGGGTATTTGAGGCGGAGCAGTTTCTGGAGGAACTCGGCGCTCTGAAAGCGGCCCCAGTTGATGCGTGTAGCATGGGAGAGCATAGCTTTTGATTCGACGACCGGGATCAGGTGGGTTGAGGTATAGGACGAGGATACCACGAGGCCGTTCTTGCCATTGTTGTAGTTGTATGAGAAAAGGGAGTCGATGCCAAAAGCCGCGGAGGGTGCGCCGTAAAGCTCGAAAAGGATTTCAGACATAGCTGTAGAAGCACCCATGTTAGCCTGCATCTTGTCCATGCCGGAGCCGCGTACGTACTCCTTCGCGAATACCCCAGGTTCGCGACAGGCTCGGTCATGGCGACAGGGCGATTGATGCCACCGCCGGAGCCGTTCACACCCATCTTTGTGAAGACATAGTCTAGGACACCCTCCATCGCATCCCAGTTGTTGATGATGTTCGTTCCGGGCTCGTAAACGTTTTTGGCCTGGCCGCGCGCGGTGCCGTCGGCGTAGACCTCGTTACCGATGAATTGGAAGGTGGTGTTGAGCTTGCGGTCTCTGTAGCGCGCCATCATCGGCGCGACTGAGAGGCGCGGGCTTTCATCAAAAGCCCAGCCGGCGCGTACGGAGGACGAGCCTGCATCGCAGATGGGTCAGCAAATAAGAGCTGGAAAGCTGAGCAGAGGACGGGTCGTACCATTGTCGATAACGATGGCGGTGTTGGAGTCACTGCGCCGGTAGCCCTCGCTGTCGACGTCGCGGATCCCCTCGAACGGGGGGTCCTTGAGCGACCATATCCTCTCAGGACTCGGCTTCGCGCTGCGCACATCCTGCGCAACGCCATCCAGGGAAGGCTGGACCATGGTGTCGGCGGCGGGATTGGTATGGGGACGAGAATACGTGGAGCTGCTATGTCATGATCCAGTTGTCCGAGGCGAGGTGTCACGGTACGAGAGCTGGGCGGGCGCGGTGTGTTGCAGGAAGCAGGAAGCTAAGGTATCTCAGGTGTCTAAAGTCCGGAGGTGCTCCACAAAGCACCAAGCGCTGCAGATCGGCAAGCTTCCCAAACAACCCCAGCTCGCTCGGCCTTCCACGACGGCAAACGCCAAATACCCATCAAATCGACCACCACAATCCAGCCTGCAGTACGTAGGAAAGAAAAGAAGAGGAGGGGAATGCACAGCGTTTCTCATCATGCGACTTTGGAAGGTTCGATCCTTTCTACTGCTCCACCGGCTCCCTCAGGCTGTCCGTGGCTGCGACGTCCGTCAGCATTGGTGGAATCAATTGCAGAACAATCCCGACCGACCTTCAAGGTGGAAGAGCACGTTGGACTGGTAGTTCTTGAACATCTGAGCGACCAGCTCAACGTTCATGTTCTGAATGTTGATTTCCTGCAAACTCGTCAGGACGTGCCGCTGGGCCAAGAACTGGAATGAGCCGACCTGGAGGTTCTTATTTAGGACCATGACCGCTTCATTGAGCTTCTCCTGCATGACCATGTTAGCATGCATGCAGTCACGGGTCTAGTGCATATGCAAAACATACCACGTTGTTAATGATGCGCCCAAGGAGTAGGCTCTGCTGGTGCTCGTGGGGGCTTTCCTAAGGCACCGAGTCAATCTCCAAACTCAGCAAGCAAGTCTGCGGAATTCACACCATGTTGTTCGGCTATGGCAGTGCGTGAAGGGCTTGACTGCGTTGCTCGCTGGTAGCGTGTTTTGTTGACTCCCCGGTGCCCAGCTCGCAGCCCTACGAGCGCGTCAACACCGAGCAAATTCCACTAGGCCCGATACGGTATTCGCGCGGGAGCTCCCCCGATTCAGCTGTCGTCAAGCAGCGCGTTTCGCCCCAACCTCCTACCACCTGCCGCGACTATCACCCTCCCGCAAGCTCCCTTATCTTCCCATCATGGCGCCCATCACCCACAATCCGACCGAGCTAGACCACCAGGCCCTGCTCGACCGGCTCGACATGTTCCGCGTCCAGAAGCCGTTCCGCAACCCCAGCTGGAAGCCACCACAGCGCCGCAACAAGAACGTCAAGCAAATCATTGCCGAGGCCCAGCGTAAGGAGGCATCCGTCATGGCCACCCAGAACAACAGCGGCAGCTCCACGCCCGCCGCCATGGCTGTCGCCGGCGCGGGCAGCGCGACCCCCGGCTCCAACATCGCACAAGCCGCTCAGAACCTATCAGCCATGGTGCTGGAGAAGAACGGGAGGGCAGCTGCCGCCGCGAGTGGCATGGGAGTGGGCCCAGCCGTTACATACACGAATATCGAGGCGCCCCCGAGCTTGCAGGTCAAGCGGAAGTACTGCGACATCACGGGCTTGCCGGCGGCGTATACGGATCCGAAGACGAGGTTGCGATACCACAACGCGGAGATTTTTGGCAACATCAGGTTGATGGGACAGAGCACGACGGAAGGATACCTCGCCGCCAGAGGAGCGCACACGGTTCTGAAATAGAAGAGCAGCAAACGGCGTCGGCAAGTCACAAAGACTGGCATCGGTGTCACGGAGAAAGCACGAAGAGCCGCAAGAAAGGCTGGCTCCTTCTCATGGCGAGTGCTGCATCACTTCCCAGCTACTCAAGAGTGCTATGATGGTATATTTGAACCACAAAGTCAAACCTCTTCCACCCGCCCTGCCCCTCTCGAGACAGGGTTCAAGAAGACGCTCCGGCTTAATCGGGATCATGTTTGGTTTTCGCCCAAGGTGGCAGGGTACCGAGGCCTCACGGTATGAGACCTCAGTTACAGCAGAACAAGTTCAAACTGTTGCCAAGGCGGTGCTTTGATTCAATAATGAATTCGAAGAGATGCATCTGTATCAGTACTCAAGAAGACAGCAAAGTGACGGGCCAGAACGTGTATCTCCAATGGTCTGCACCAATGTTGAGAGACGCCAACATGCGTCAGGCAAAGCAGGATCTTCCTGATAGAATCATCAGCTGTTCCTCCAGTACGTCTCGCGGAGGTTTGACAGCATCAAGAAGCTCGCTGCATGAACAGCATCAAAGGGCATCAATCGCAGGCCGTGTCAGTGTATACGGGTGCGCTGTGACTAGGCGCGACTCGATGCGGCTTTCTGGGATGCGTGGGTAGAGATTGAAGTTGCGGGAAGCGACAGACAGGCCTGCACGATCTTTTTGTGCGAACGCGCCAAGAAACGCGCGTGCGTTCCGTACCTCGCGCTAAGTTACAGGCCACAGGCCACTCTACTGGCCGATCACCTCCGTCGTGCCCGACAGACGCTAGGCACTCCTTCCACCTTACATCCAAGTGCGCTCTACACCGGCCCAATTCTCCTCGCTACCGTGCGACTTGTGTTTACCCTCTTCTAATCTTCCCCACGTTTTATTCCGATTGGACTGCCGCCAAAATGCCTTCGTTCTGGCTCAGCGATTCTCAAAGTACGTTCAGGCTTCCCTCCCATCCCTCGCTCCGTCGTGGGCTTTGGCATTTCACACCGCATGGACTACTAGCTAACATGGAGACAACAGAGGTCGGAGTGGCCTTCTGCTCAGGGGGTAGGTACGAATAAATTCGGCATGCGCGCCCGCCTTTTGTCCCTCGCGGCGCCGCCGGCGCGCACCGCCCAAACCATGTAAATTTCGTGGAGAAGGACAGTTGAGATCTGACGTTGGTGGATACAGGCGGCTTCTTCCTTCTGGCGGGTGTGATGATGTTCTTCGATAGGGCATTGTGAGTTCCCAGCCCGCACTTCCCAACAGGCTGCAGTGGAGCTCGACAGAGGAGAGGGCTAACACGTCGCATAGGCTAGCAATGGGCAACGTACGTCTCCCATTCTCCTTTTCCTGCCTTGGACACCCTTCACCGCCACGCTTGACCCCGTAGCTCTGACACTTCGCGCTTGAACTACACAGATCCTTTTCATCTGCGGCCTTACCCTCATCATTGGCCTTCAGAAGACGCTCCTCTTCTTCGCACGCCGCCAGAAGATCGCCGGCACCGCCGCATTCGTCACCGGTATCCTGCTCATTCTCTTCCGCTGGCCGCTGATCGGCTTCTGCGTCGAGCTGTACGGCATCTTTGTTCTCTTCGGCGACTTCTTCGCGACCATCGCCGGCTTCGTGAGACCGATTCCATACGTGGGTCCGTACGCGGCGAATTTTTTGGAAAGAATCTCGGGAGGAACTAGGAATTCGGAGCTGCCGGTTTAAGACGGATAGTGCTATGGAGGGAGGTTTGGGAGGAAGAATGTCTCGGGGAATAGGCGTGGAGTGTGGTGCTCGGGAAAGCATTCACAGCGTGGTAATGGCACTTGGTGGGGTGTACGATTGCGGGGGATCAAAGGCTAATGAGTGGATGAAAATGGTGTATGAAGGTCATGAGGCGTTGTAGGTAAATGTGAACAATACACTAATTGATCATAGAAGTTCGCTTCCAGCATCGGAATATCTCACGTCAGGCTACCCAATCAAGTCTGATGCTACAGTTACTAGGAACAAATGCTCTCTTACGTCACTAGCAATCCAGTAGGAAAATGGGGCATCACATTATGACGCAGAAGGTTTAAGCCCTCCGAGCCTCGCCGAGTGTCGCGGACGTAACATATGCATGCTGTCCGCATCATCCCCTGGTGGGAAGGTGGGGCTCTGATTGTACCCTTAACCTTCGGGTAGGTATGGCCCGATGGTGACCTGGATGGATGGCGAGGAGAGTCCTAAGATGCTAGAGTTGGCTTGGACGGCTGCCTACTGCTCGAGTAAGTTGAGGATGAAGTCGGCAAATGTGGTTTCTTACACCAAGGATAAAATAAAAAAGCCCCCCTTCCAATATAATCTCAATTTACGAATAATATGGAAAGCATTCTATTATCAAACACAAGCACTTCACAACATGCCATAGCCAGCTGTCAACTTGTGTGTGTTTCCCCTTTTGCCCCTGCCCCCTCTCCAAAATACCTACCCACTGGTGGGCAGTGGAAACCCCCATACACGAAGCAGTCGTGCCATCAACTTTCAAGTGATTCCGGTCGTTATGGATTAATTGATTTCTGGTCACCGGGCCACCGTATACGGCAGTGGGTAAACTGGCCTTTTGCTGTTTTGCTAGGCGCTCATTAGCATTGTCGTCGACACAGTTATTGGTACGTGCGGCGGAAGGGGGATTTTCCTCTACCATTGGGATGCGGTGAGGTTGGTTGGAGATCGAGTGTGGAATAAATACCGGCGAATTCTTTTGTGGAAATGATTATGTTTGTATGGTTGTACCAGTACCGTGTCGGAAGCCTTGTCCTTTCTCAACAAGCTTCTGGACCGTGGTGGTCATTTCTACCGATAACGCATAGCCTGGGCCCTCAAGCGATACGTGAAGTTCAAGAGGTTCCTCAGGGCAGGTCCTTTAAAGATTTGGCGTCGGCGGCGTGTTCACAAGGCTATGTCTGGACTACGCCCGCCCGTTCCCTAACAACCGTCACGATTCCGATATAAATTGGAGCCCAATATCCACCGAGGAGCTTTCTGATTATACATCGAGCAGGAAGGGATACATACTGTCGGACCAAGAGAGGAACCGAGGCTCATCAAGTTGCCCATCAAAAGCAATAGCATCGCAGCCACCTGTAATTGTTGCTCGAACGAGACGCACCTAGAAGGAACAGTGGGATGGGATAAGATGTATTGGCCTCGGCGTATATGGTCCATGCGCGTCGCCATCTTGCGGTTTTGTCGATATGTCGAAGATGTTGATGAGCACCGCCAACAGGAATTAGCGTATTCGGTGCAAGAAATGTTTGGTAACGTAGGTCTGTGTCTAGATTGTTACAAGAACCGATTAGAGGGTTTACAAATGCTTTACCAGGTTTGGCATGTGTAGAGCAAGAGACATTGAATCGGATTAATGGCTGGGTCCACCATCACTTGGCGTTTCATGCTACTTCTCCTGGCACCTTTGCTCCCTGCCATGTCATTGCTACATAGTCACTCCTTCCGTCAATGCGACTACCCTCGCCTGCAGTGATTCGATTCCGACGCGGGCGAACTGCCCTGGGCGAAGCGGCTCGGTTCTTCCGTGTAAAGAACTGCTCCTGACGCCGTGGCTCGGTTGGTTCGCGGTAGAAGTATGCACAGGTTTGGCCGCAGGTAGACAATGGTTTGGATACAGCCGTTTTTCTCTTCCCTCTTTCATGGGTCTACCCTGTGGTTCGTAGTTATACTTGTAAACCGAAGGTCGGAGTGGACCGAAGTGATAGGTTCAACGGCGGAATCATCTCAGAATACACGTGCGAGGCTTGAAAAACTCTGAGAGCTTACCCACGTGGGCGCAAAGTGGAGAATAACTGGCAACAGTGCTCATGAAAGCGCGACGGAGACATGGCGGCTCAACAAATGTGCGCTTTGGTACGGAGGACAGGCTCCTGGCTCGGGGGGAAGCGGAAGCGCGACGTGCCTGGATAAATGGCGGGGCGGGTTGCCTGGCAGCAAGCGGGTAAGGCAAGCGGCAAGGAGAGCGGAGACAGCAGCGCGATTTTTGGGGGGTGATTTGCGCGGCTGGGGTGCTGGGTGTCACGGCCGGGAGCACACAGCGTGAGGGCGCAAGAGTCGCAAAGCCGAGGTGAGAGCAGGAGGGAGCTGGCGCTGCTGCACCCCAAGATTAGGCGGGTGCGCACGGACGCGATCGACCTGCGGCGCCCCTTGCGTTTGCGTGACTGCCGCAGCCCGCAGCCCGCAGCCCGCAGCTCCGCGGCGGCGCAGCTGTTATCGGGGAGGCCAGAGCTTCCCTTCCTGCTTCCTGCCTTTCTCCGCACCCCAGCCCTCAGCCCTCAGCCCACAGCCGTCCGTCTCGCTCGCGCCCGTCCTGCCTCTCCCTGTTACGCGCGCCCGCTGCCACCAACAACACCCCCGCCTCATCCCCCCCGAACCATGTCGACGCGCAAGAGGAAGCAGGAGGCCGAGGAGGAGGAGGAGCTCGTTGCCCTGCCTTCCGACGAGAGCGACGAGGAAGAAGAGTAAGTCACTGTCATTTCGTTTCTCGCTCGCAGCCCTGCTGTCGCGTCGCATGCGCCTGCGACGCCATCAATTGGTGTCGCGAAGGCCATGCGATCGCACTTTTTGTTTCTGCTTCTTGCGCAGAGGCGTGGTTGTGCGCGCATTGTTGCCGTCAGCAAAGCTCTCGCGGCTTGCTGGGGCGCTGCTGCGCGGATGACCACGGCCGTCGGAGCTCTTCTTCCCCAAGCTTCGATCGCGCTCTTGCTCCTCTCTCCCATCCGTTGTTTTTCATACAGTACTTCACGAGAGCGCGTGCGACGTTCGTCTCTTTTTTTTTTTTTTTGGTTTCTTCTTGCCGTGGTCTTTCCTTCATGGCGCGCGTTTCCTCTCGTCTCTCCCTCTCTGGACCTGCCTTTCACAAGGCTGAGGTCTAACGACTTACAGGTACGAAGACTCCGAGGTTTCTTTTGACGAAGAGGATGCATCCGAGGATGATGATGAAGTTGTAGAAGAAGGTACTGTTACCATTTCACGATTTCCTCTCGGCATCCAGCACCGTGTTGTTTTAGCAAATCCCAGATCCTTCCCTCCGTTGGTATTCACAAATCCTCTCGATCTGGATTTACAAACCGTGCTCATGATTCTCTACCGAACAGTCGAACCGCAACCCAAGAAGCGTAAGACCACCAGACAGGCCAAGGCCGATGCCGAGGAAGAAGACGAAGAACCCGAAGCCGTCGCGACCGATGACGAAGCCGGCGATGGCGAAGTCGCTCCCAAAGACGGCGACGACGAAGACGAAGAACCTGAGGCTGCCGATGAGGAGGCAGAGGACGATGTTCCTACCGATACTGCCGCTAAGGGCGGCCCCGCCTCGAAGGCGAAGGCAGAGAAGGCCGCCGATGTGCCCAAGGAGGCGGAACTGAAAGAGGTCGAGTCTAAAGCCTAGAGCTTCACACGCTCATTTACCTCCGATTTCTCCTCGCCTTTGGTTCTACGACACTGCATGGTAAGGCTGCTGAAAAGGCAACGCTGTCATCTCTTAGCATTGTCACTGTTGGACGTTGTATTCTATGTCGCCGTGGCTTTTGTTTACTTACTTCGATACACACGAATCTTGATGTCATTTACGATTTTTGCTACCTACGGTCGACCAAGCTTGAGTTCGTGATGTTCATATGCCGATCAGAAAATGCTGTGGACAGCCGGAAAGCCCTCCTGTACAGTGAGCGTGCGAACTCTGAACAGGCTGCCCTAAATTCCAGAACGACTTTCGACGATATTCAGTAAATTCACTGGCGTTCCTCTCACGTCGTCTTTGGCCAGGACTCGAGTACGAGACGTTGGTCCTCGGCCTTCGCCTTTGCTTCAGCCTCAGTCTCAGCCTCAAGCTCATCCCAGTGGACACGGGAAAGCCCCCATTCACGGTATCCCAGTTATATCTTACCACTTACCTATCTCTCAAGGGCTGGAGGTCGAAACACCCAAGCCCACAAACGACATGGCGTATCGAGGTGTATACAGTCAAGCTGTTTTTCAAGAACGAGGAATCGAAATACACAGGGCTACCTACGATATGACGCATCGATATGTGTGCTAGCACGCAGGTGGGGATTCAGACGAGCAGGGAGAATGGGCCGGGCGTTTCTGGTCTTGTTCACCAGACGTTGCTCTTCGTCTGTCGCAGAAGTTTGTCGCTGTTCAGAGACATATGATTCTTTTGCTGGGCTCTTTCGAAGAAGTCGAAGCGAGAGGCAGCGGGACCTACCACCTCGTCGTGACGCCGGCCGGTGAACAAGATCTCAGTACCTTCCTCCGAGAGTTCGGACGCCGGCCTGAGCATGACGTACGGATTCGGAAATGGTTTAGCCGCTTGACGTCTGGCCTTGCGTATATTCACGGTCAGCAAGTACGTCATGAAGTCATCAAACCTCAAACCATCGTCCACTTGGGAGACGAGATATACTGGTTACGTGGATTGCGTCGATGGACTCGGATACACCTTTCGGGATGGGCGTACGACGTAGGCCGAACATGAAGGTTGCAGTCTTCAACATTGGAATGGTGGGAGGCCGCCAGCAGCGCAGGGCTCGCGGGAAGCCGATGACGATTTGGATTTCCAAGCAGAGGGTGGGATGATTTGTCTACTCGTTCAGGTACTAGTATCCAGTCTTCATTTCCGAATGAGCTATTGAGAAAGGCTTTCTACGTTTCAAAGCCACATGAGCAATTCAGCGCGAGTTTTCCATTTCACGTACACTGCTGGACGAATTAGTCGCGAGAACTTTGACTCGCGGAAGACACTGAAGAGTGTGTGATGTTCGAATGGCTCGCAGAGCGAGGCTACGATGGAAGGATGTTTGGATAAGGAATTGCACTTCACCCACGGTCACGCATTTGGTCGTTCTTTCAAAGATGGAAGAAAAAACTGAATTCTAGTACACTCTATTCTTCTAAAAAAAGAAAAAAGAAAAGCCGATACAAGGGGTATAGAGATACTAAATTGAGCAGTCCACGGGGGACCACACGCAGGACTCCGGCAATCGGATGCGCTCCGAAAACGAACCCATCCGGGCCACCGAATATATGGACCAAAAGGACGTCGCGTCCCGGCTATACAGGGACATCGGTATTACGTCTCAAAATAGAAAATGAAAAGGCGGTTCAGAGCTGCAGGCACAAGTGTTAGCTTCTCTGTCCTGTGGATCGAGATAGTTGCTGAGAGAACTACTTACGTTGATGTCGCCATTGGGGCTGTTGTCGTTGCCGGCGTCGTTGGCGTTGGCGTTGGCGTCGCTGACGATGGAGCGGCCGACATTCAATTCGTGGATCGAGTCCACGCTCTTGACCGGCGGGGCGGTGTATGGGTAGAGCGGGACGGCGACGGTGAGGGAGGTGAGGAGGAAGATGGTGGCGGTGGAGAACTTCATTGTGGATGAGGAGGTGGAGTTGTTGTTGTGGTTGATGATTGTTGTTGATGGTGATGGATGTGTGTTGGTTTGGTGTGATGAGGACTGATGGTGATATTCGGATTGGGATGAGGGAAGACGTCTACTTTATAGATCAAACGGAGCTTGGGGAGAAAAGTGTCATGGATCTGAGAGATCTGGGCTGACAGACGCCACATTCACAGCCTCTCCGGAGTTTGTGGAGAAGCGACAACGCCCAGGCGGACTATTGCGAAGCTGGACCATGACAATACCCGAACAGGGATAAAGTCAATGCCGCTAGTCCACCGGGAATTGGGCTGTGCGGCTGCTGCGCCCCTTGCGGGTTGGATGGGTGGCAGTATTTGGATGGGCAACGGACACTAGGAACAAGCGCGAGCACCAGTTCCTGGCATGTTGTCATTGTTTGACATGGCTGTAGAATGCCCACGCTGTCGGATAAGTGCGGACGAAGAGCATACCGGGTAGGAGCACCAGTGTCATTGAGAGTATCTGGGATCACTTTGAAGCACGTAGACGTTGGCATCGATCGTGATGTATTTTAAGCATCTCCAGCGACAAGCCACGAGACAGAGGCGTATCTGGGGCCGATGACTTAGTGCGGGAGATCGCCAGCTGGTGTGTCACCAATCGGGATATCCGAGCACCTCATTCGGAACTCGATGCACCATGTCGCGGCTTCTTTTGGCACAGTGGCGCTGATACGAATGCCAGATTACGTGTAGAAGGCCGGAAATGGAGATGCGTACCCGCTTGGATTTTTGTTTTCACGAATCAAGCAAGATCCGGAGGCAGCACCGAATGTGCCGGGCCAGACCACGACATTTACCGAGAACGGTCTGGAACAGGGACCTCCAAGGCTCATCGAACTCGAGCCCGTGGGCTTGGTTGAACCCTGAACCGCCACACACAGCCCCGGTCTCAGACTCCAACGCCGACGTGGCCTAACTGATTCCGGCGATTTGGCCATGGCTCTTCATGTGCGGATACGTCACTTCCAGGGGCGAGAATGCATGACGACCACATGTGAAGTCCTGGAAATGAAATCGCCTCGTGGCAGAAGATGCGTGGAAATCCATGCTGGCGGTAGCATTGACATCCAAACCGCCTTAAGACTCTTTGTTGTCGTCGGGCTGTGTACGAAGCGAGGCCAGCCGTGCTCACGATTGCGTGAAAAGGCAATCAAGGGATAGGGTGTCGGAAGAAGAATTGACCCTCTTCTCTTCTGGGGCGACATACTCGGGCGTGTGGAGCAAGAAGAGATTTGTAAATTTACCACACCTCACTTTCGAAGTGTTTTTATACCGGTTTCTCTCCACCCACGTCACTGGAAACGCTGCTAAAGAGCATTGAGATGAAGCTCGGATCCACGAGCCTTGCATGCAAGACAGTCTCAAGCCTGACGGCACAGTATTCCAAACCGAACCACTTCCGTTTCCCGCTCACTTGACCATTCAAACTAGCCATTATTACCAAGGAAAGGCGGCAGTGTCGTCTATCATCATCATACGAAACCGCCCAAACATGCCCTACTCCCCCTTCCCCCCAGCCTCGACATGCACCGTCCCAACCGCCTCGTGCTCCTCCTCTTCCTCCCTCCTCCTCGCATTCCTCACCGCGGCATTCACCGCTGCCGGCAGATCCAGATGGAAAAACGGCCTATTGACCCCATACACAGGCGCAAACCTCTTCTTCTCCGGCGCCGGCTCCGACGCCACAACACCGCTCTCCACATCCCCCCCAGCCGCGACGCCGCCGCCCACCAGCATCTTCTCGTCCCTCACCACGCCCAGACTCCTCCCCCCCACCTCAGCGACGGCAAACAGCCCGTCGCTCCCAACAGCACCAGCAGCAGCAGCAGCAGCACTGCGGTACCCGAACCCGGCCGCGGCCAGCGCCCTCCTCGTCCACCTCCGCCCCACGCCGGCAAAGTGCCACTCGACCCCGCCAGCAGCTGGCAGTTCGCGGCCGCCGCCGGCGGGTCGGCCGGCATACCGATCCACCTGGCCCCGCACGTCGACCAGGCCCTGCACGGCCGTGACGTCGACGTCGGCGACGCTGGAGAAGTCGAGCACCACGGCGCGCAGCAGCGGGCGCTTGTCGGCAGTGACAGCAACAGCACCGACGTCGTTGTTCTCCTCACCATCGCCATCCTCGTTCTGCACTGCATCGTTGTTGTTCTTGCTCTTCTTCCCCCACGCGCGCAGGGGCAGCCGCAGCCGCGGCCGCGGCCCGGGATCGTTCCACGGGCGGTCGCCCGGGCGGGCGTAGTGGTCGGCCGGGTCGGCGCCGGGACGGGTGTGGGCGAAGACGGCGGCGGCGAGGGCGTCGAGGAACGAGGCCTGGTTGGCGTAGGTGAGGGTGTCGGTGAGCCGGTAGACGAGGACGCCCGGGTGGGGCGGGGCGGCGACGAGGGGGGCGAGGGCGGGGTTGTGGGGGGAGGTGGATAGAGAGGAGGAGGGGTTGAGGGGGAGGTAGGCGGATGTGGGGGTGGGGGTTGTGGTGGTGATGGTGGTGGTGGACGTGGAAGAGGTGGAGGTGGAGGAGGTGGGAGTGCTGGGGTGCGAGTGCTGCGCTAGGCGGTCGATGCCTTCGACGGGCTCGGTGGCGGGGGAGTGGTGCGGTGGTGGTGGTGGGTTTTGTTGTTGGTGCTGCTGCTGCTGCTGCTCCTCCCCGAGGTAGTGGACCTTGATGTGGCCCAGGACGAGGCCCTTGGCGCGGGCGTGGCGGAAGAGCAGGACGGCGGCCGAGGCGGCCATGGCGGTGTAGATGCCGTTTTCGATGTTGGTGAAGACGGTGACGAGCACGCCGGCGAAGAAGATGACGACGTCGAGCGGCGAGATCTGGTAGAAGCGGTAGACGACGTCGGGGGCGGTGATGAGGTCGCCCACGGCGTGGATGATCAGGCCGGCCAGGGTGGCCATGGGAATGTAGAAGAAGACGGTCGTCAGCGCGTAAAGGGCCAGCAGCACGAGCACGGCGGTGAAGATGCCCGCGAGCGGCGTGCGCACCCCGGCCTTGGACTTGATTGCGGTGCGCGAGAAGGAGCCGGTGGCGGGATAGCCGCCCAGGAAGGGGCCGAAGACGTTGGTGAAGCCGAGGGCGACGAGCTCCTGCGACGGGTCGATGGTGTAGTTGTTGATGCGCCCGAACGACTTGGAAATGGCAATGTGTTCGATCAGCAGCACGATGATGGCCGCCGGCAGCTCGCTCGAGAAGGCCCCGATGAGGCGGCTGTCAATATGCGGCACTCCGGCGTGTTGGAATCCTGGACGAGATTAGCCTACGGCTTCGAGAGAGGGGAGGCCCAAGGGAGCAGCGAGCACCTCTTGGCACAGTGCCCAGGATCTTGAACTTGGCTTCTTTGGCGTTGGAGATGCCCCTGTTCGAGAGCCAGCTGACCATGGTGTACAGCAGTATGATGAAGGCCATCCTCAGCGTCGACAGGAAGAACCACATCTTCTTCCGGTGCGGCTGCCTCTCCGACATGGTGTTGCAAACCCAGCGGATAAAGTACAGCGCGAACAGAGCACTGAGCCCAAGCGCCGCGTCCACCTTCGCGGATCCGAGATTCTTGAGCGTGTTGATCAAGACCTTGTAAGTGGCCTCGCGCGTGTTGATGCCCGAAATGCCCATCATGGCCGGAACCTGGCCAACCGCAATGCTGAAGGCAGCCCCCGTCATGAAGGACGCAATGGCAACAAGCGGGATGAACTCAACGATCCAGCCCGCGCGGATGAGTCCGATAAAGAGGAGGATCGCCCCTGAAATGAGCGCCAGCCCCCTGGCCACCTGCTCCGCGGGGATGTCCGGATGCTTGTCCTGCACTTTGATGACGATGTTGCCGACAATGGTCGACATGACGGCCACCGTCTGCATCGCAGCTGTCAGCCCATCTCTTCTTTGTCAAGGTCTGATGATTGCGACTTACACCGATGGTAATGTCCTTTGAGGTGGCAAACGCCCAGTACAACAGGAATCCGACAAAGGACGTGTACAGTCCGTACTCAGGGCTCAATTTGGCGAGCAGCGCATATGCCATGCCCTGCGGGACAACGACGAAGCCGACAGTGACGCCTATCATTCGAGTCAGACTGGAAATTGCAAGCTGGATGCGCGTATCGAGTAACCTTACCAGCAATGACATCGCCAGTCAACCATTGCAAGTTGTAGTGGAAGATCCAATTCCAAAACGGGAAGAGGGTTTTGATGTAGCGGGCGACGCCGGCCTGTGTGGGCTTGAACCGCAGCAGAAACTCCTTCACCGTGGGCTCCTCCTCGAAATACGGCTCGACATCGTCGGGAAGCAGTGCCGCATACTCATGCCTGTCCGGTTCTTGTCTGTAGTCGACGTCGATGCCGACCGCCTTGGCCAGGATGCGTGAAGCCATGCGGAATCGAGTGAATCAAAGCCACTCTGAAGGGACAATCGACGACGAACCAGGTCCATCTTTAAGCTTCCTTCAGCCTTAATTCGAATCGAACGACAGCGGAAAATATTAGACGCCCAGGCTCTGGGTATTCTTGGAGGTTGGGTCTGGGCTGAAGACTGTAGGGCAGGGAACCGGCGCTGCTTGCCGGATATTGGACAGACGAGACTCAAAACCAACGGCCGGCTTGGACGCGCCATTGCCAGGCCAAATGTCGTCAGAAGTTAGTCCGGTGCCAATGTTCTTGTCCTGCTCGCTTGTCCGCAACCGTGGCTCGTTTGCCAAGGTGTCGCCTCGGGCTCGCCTTGGCGCATGTGCCATGACAGCGCCAGCGCCCTCAGTGACACGATAAAATGTTGAATAGGTTAACCGGCACGCCCGTTGCGGTTGAGAAGACTCTTCGAACCCGGTACTCGGGTATTGCGCCTGTTCTTAATTTCACTGTTAATACTCGACTCTGGACAGCACTTCGATGTGTGATCGCCAAGTCGAAGAGGAGTTGCGCCGAGCCACACTGCGTGGTTCCATAATGCCATCAAATGGTGACATCGCAAGCCCGCTAAGTTCTTCCTCGGGGCGCTGATGGCCCTGAGCTTGGGAAAGAAGACGGTGAGAAGGAGTCGCAAGAGAAGAGAAGAAGATTACAGCTACTGATTTACAAACAACGGACGATTCGCTATTTCAGCCACCTCCGGAAACCAGATAGCCGTGATTTTGCATCAAACACATTGTGGAACTCAATGATCATAAGCTCAGACCGTTAATGCGTTTGGTTGTTGCTGCATGGTACAAACAAACACTCAGCAGCTGAGCCAAGGACGCGCCCCTGTGCTAACCTTCCTCAAATACAGTTTCACCCTGTCCGGACCATGACATTTCTGAGCATGAGGCGACGAATGATGGACCAATCACTCGACCAGGGCAGTCCCAAACGCACAGCGGTGAGTTTACAGCAGAGACGAAGGAAAGGATGACCAAAGCGTCGATTGACGCTGGCGAGAAGAAGAGATAAAGATAGACGTCCCGACATGCAAGGGGCCAAAACCTTGACGTTGCGAGGGGGGATCGGGCGCTTGATCCGTCCTCACTAGAGGCCATGGCGCACGGGCACTCGCATGTGTGGTCCACTTTTGATGGGCCACGCGGATGCCCTGCAGAATTTCCTGCGGCAGGCTCGTGCTGAAGACGGAAAATCGGCGACTATCAGACACCACGCTGCGGGTCTCTGTATCATCGCGGGCCCCCGATTCGATCTGGGGAAGGCGGAAAAGAGGAACGAGTTTCCGGCCGACAGGCGAGAAAAAAAGCTTCGAGAAAGGAAAGTCGCGAGTTGCAACACGCCCAAAACGTGGGAGAGCAGCAGTGTCGGAAGCATTCTGCCGTTTCGAAAGCCATGTGGCCATGGCCCCGCCCGTCACCACACAGCCTCCAACCCGCCCGAACAGGCAATTGGGAAAATGGCGCGGGAGCTGCAATACAACGAGATCACTCTCCGTACATCTCTCGGTCGAAGAGCAAGAAGCAAAAGCGCAATAGAACGTCCGATTAAGGGCCTGTACCGCCAACGGCGCGCAAGCCCCACCCACTGGCCCCATACCCCTGCAGCTCGCTCCTCTCCGACGAGCGCCGTTGCGCAGGCGCACAGAAGACGGAGGTGGAAGGGGGGAAATCGCCGCGCATCTGCGCCAGTTTCAGCCTGTCCTGAGTCCAGCCCTGCTCTTGTGGTCCAGCCCTCCTTACCCGTCAGCGTCCTGTATCAACCAACCCCGACCATCGAAATTACGGCAGGGATTCCGAACAAGGAAACACCTTCGTTTCCTCCTCTCTCACCTGCTCACGTAGCGAAGAAGCATACCGATTGATGAAATAAGACGCCTGCATCTCGGTGCCCTGGCCCGAAATGGTTGGCGCGGCCATTCCTGCTATAGCACCTGCATCCCTGGAACGGACCATGGCCCTTGGCCCGTCCATTCTTGAGAAAACATGCATCATCCCTGGTTTGTGATTAGCGAGCTGCAGTAGTACGAGTCAACGAGTGAAGGCTGGATCAACAAACTCTCCAGACGGAACCTGTACTTTTGCCCTGCATAAAGTTATCGGTAAACAAGCTCTCATCACATGTTCCGAAGCTGGCTTAGCTTGTTGGCGTCAGGCGAGCCAATCCAGTATATCCTATAGCTGCTGTAGGTCATATGTGAGGCGAGCCTCGTATTCGGTATAGAGCGTTTAGACCAAGTCCCCCTCACCGTGTAGGGTCCACGATAATTTCGCTAACTGAGTGTACTGTGTAGATGCCGAAAACCCTTCTTGGCACTTTACGTTGATTGTAAGTTTAGTCTTCATTATTACCTCGGGGGGAAAAGCGTATTCGTGTGGCATGTTGACGTGTCGTCGAGGTCAAGCTCCGCGAATGCATGCCAGCTCGTACCTGGTCTATCGCCACTGAAATTGCAGAGAGCAAGAAAAACGTAGAAAATCCATAAACTTTTGCACCAAATGACTCCAAACTTCATGCAGCGACTGCACGCCCTTGCTTAGTGCGTGCCGTTGACGCCGTTGGCCCTTTCCCTGCGCTCCTTGATGGCGGCGGCCAGATTCTCGAGCACGTCGACCGTCGTCTCCCAGTCAATGCAAGCGTCGGTGATGCTGACACCCTTCTTGAGTCCCGAAGGGCCCTCGGCCGGTACCTTCTGGTTGCCCTCGTGAATGTTCGACTCGATCATGACGCCGACAATGCCCGTCTCGCCCTCGCGAATCTGGTCGGCGATGGTGCCAGCGACGATGGGCTGGTTGCGGTGGTTTTTGTTGGAGTTGCCTGCAGTAAAAATTCAGTGAGTCACCCTTCAGGCGGTGGCGTCATGAAGCCGGGACAGCATACCGTGCGAGCAGTCAATCATCATCACCTCCCTCTGGCCCTTCGCCTTCAGCGCCGCGCGCGCCGCCTTGACGCTGTCCTTGTCGTAGTTGGTGCCCTTGGTGCCACCGCGGAGAATGACGAAGCAGTGCTCGTTGCCCGACGTCTTGGTAATGGCGGCCAGACCCTGCTTGGTCACACCCAAGAAATGGTGCTTGGCGGCACCGGCGCCAATGGCGTCGACTGCGACACCCAGACTACCGTCGGTGCCGTTCTTGAAGCCAATGGGGTAGGACAGACCGGAAGCCAGCTCACGGTGCAACTGCGACTCGGTGGTACGGGCGCCAATGGCACCCAGCGAGATCAGGTCGGAGAGGAACTGGGGCGAGATGGTGTCGAGCATCTCGCTGGCGATGGGCATGCCCTGGCCGGTCAGGTCGCAGTAGAGCTTGCGCGAGACGCGGAGGCCCTTGTTGATCTTGTAACTCTCGTCCATGTCCGGGTCGTTGATCAGGCCCTTCCAGCCGACGGTGGTGCGGGGCTTCTCGAGGTAGGCGCGCATGATGATGCACAGCTCGTTGTTCAGCTTGTCGGCCAGGGCCTTGAGGCGCTGGCAGTACTCGACGGCGGTCTCGGGGTCGTGGATGGAGCAAGGGCCGACCATGACCAGCAGGCGGTCGTCCTGCTGGGAAATGATGCGGGCGGCTTCGCGGCGGCCCTTCAGAACAGTCTTTTGCGAGACGTCGCCGACCGGGAGCTCCGAGGACAGCAGCTGGGGAGGGATGAGGGGGTCGTAGCCCTCGACTGCGGCGTCTTAGTGTGTGCGATCTGGTGGGGTGGCCTCTCGGCGGGGCTCTTACCGCGAACATCGTCGCTGAGCTCGGTCTTGAGCTGATCAATTGCGTCGGCCATGGCGATTGGAGTGTGCAGAGCGATGTCTGAGTGTGGAGAGCAAGTACGGGAAGCGCTGGCCTGTGACTATAAGAGTGGCGTGGTCGGTGGGCGGACGAAGAAAAAAAGTAGTGAGTCAATAATGTCGGCGCGCGCGGTGTGAGTTGATGAGTGGAATAATTTTGGGCCCAGTGCACCAAGCCACCGCCGCCGCCGCCGTCGGAGTTGCGGTGCGGACCCCGCCGCTGGTTCTGGACGCGTTACACGGCCAGCCCGATTACCTGAGGCATGCGTACGGTAAGGAACGCCCCCTGCGGACATGTTTTCTGCTCGCATGACTTTTTGTCACCGAGTGCCCATGCGCGTGCATGAACCCAGCGGTTGCGGATCCGGACGCCCGTGTGCCCGTGTGCCCGTGTGCCCGTCGAGCGGCAGAGACACGCCCTGGAGATGATCAAGCTTTCGTGCGCCTCCATGCCTGCGGCGGGGATCTGCAGAGCAGCAGCAGCAGCCGCCGCCGGGTGAATGATGCTGCTGGCTGACGTCGGAGCGAAGCGCTGCTAGCAACGCAGCCGGCGACCGCTTGGGAAAAGTCCGAGAGCGTCATGGCCACATGTTGCCTTGTGGGGACTGCGAACGCCTTTTCAGCCACAGCAAGGCACGGCGATCTACTAATAAGCACCTCCCGGCTGCGTCAGCGTGTCAGCAAAAATGTGGCTCACGTCGTCGGTCTGCACAGCAAGCATCAGCTTGCCAGGGCGCACCAGGATCACGCCTGCAGCACTGCAGCGCCGACTTGGCGCCGGCGCGAACACAGTGACAGCGTGACAGCGGGACAGGACAGGACCCTCGGCCACGCAAACAACAGCGCCGCGTTTCTGCGGGCGGCAGGAGACGGAGCTCGCCAATCTCGGATGCGCATTGAAGAGCAGCAGAGTAGAAGATTGTTCGCGCGGGCGCTTCGGGCGGGCGGTGCGTAGTGCAATCAGCAGCTGCCCTGTGTCGTGGCGCTGCCCCGGATGGACGGGCGGCCGGCGGCTGTTGTGACGACCGGCGGGCCCGTGCGTGGGGCTGGTTTCACTTTCCTGGCCGCTGAGCTGCTTGACATCCATCCTGCCAATCCTGCTCCAGCGCCCCTCGCACCCCGCCCTCTTTGGCTGCCTGGACAGCCCAGTGACTTCTCCTGAAACCCACCCACGACGCCAATCCCCCAACCCAGAAAAACCCCCGCGCCCCTCGTACAGTGATGTGCCCGAACCTTATATCGTGAGCTCTGGACCTCCCCGCTGCCGGCACCACAAGCCCAACCCAATCGTCCATTTAACCCCGGCGCCCACTCACCACTCGCCCTTTCGGCTAAACCAAAACATCGCTACCACATCATGTTCCAACTGCCGCAACGCATCGCCCTCAAGCGCTCCCGCGTCGACGACGACGATGACGCTCCAATTCTCGCTGAACGCCACTGCGACAAGGTACCGTGTCGACTCCCTCCGCCGCCGTGTGTCTGGAATGCCGCATAGTAACTACGACGCTACAGAAGCACCGCAACCACGCATCCTGTCTATCGCCGCCCGAGAACTTCTTCCAGACCAAGACGCTCAGTTTCTCTCAAAACCGCGCCAACTCGCCATGTCTGCCCGCCCTCACTCCAGGCCATTCCGACGAGTCGGGCTGCGATTCGCCCGAGCTGCCTGCATACTCCGACACCGACATGGACGACTGCATCGAGGACGACTTCAACGCCATGCGCTCCAACCCCAACTCGCCTGCCCTTCCCTTCATGCTGCCCGAGCGCCGCAATCCCCGCCACCACGAAACGGAGCCCAGCACCGGCCGGGTGCCGACGCCCATCTACGGCCATTTCCCCCCCAAGATCACGTCCAACGAGCCCAGTGGTATCCCGAGCAACATCCGCCCCACAACGCTTGAGGAGCTGAGGGCGGCGTCGGTCAACGCTCGCCGCAGCATGGCCCAACGAGACGTCGGCCGCGACATGCCCTCGCCCATCCGCGAAGATGAAATGGCCATGACGCCAACCACGGTGGCCGGGAACCGACTCTCGCGGCTCCACGTCTCGGGCCGAGGCGGCAACGACGACGGCATGGACATGGACTCGCCGACGACGTTGGACCCACAGCGCCATGCCGCTGCCATGGCCGCTGCCGACTCCAAGCCCGGCCGCGCGAGAAGCGGAGCCATCACCGGCAAGAAGAAGTTCCACATGGGCTTCCGCGAGGACTGCCCCAAGTGTATAGCGAGAGTGCCGGGGCACAACGCACATTTTCTTCCGTCCTGATTTGCCGATTGAGAAACATGATAACACGAACTGGACGCGACATATGAGTAAGAAGTGACGTGGCGTTACAAGGCATCATCAGACAGATTCTTCCATTTCCATATATTTTTTTTCCCCAGTTACCAGCAGTACAGAAACGTTCATAAGAGAAGAGAAAGAGGGCGACAATCTCGCCTGGCAGGGCGTCAATCAAAAGCAGCCTTTTTTCAGTCTACACAATTCAGTCATTTTCCATCCGTCTGCTCTTCTGCACATTCACGTGGTAGTTGACACAAGGTGCACACGGCACAAATCATGAAGGATTTGTGTGGGTAAGGGGCAATTTCTTCTTTCCTGCCGGGACACAAACCCTTTTCCGTCATTATATCACCCCCCAGCCTATATGGTGTATGCGAGATATAGTCTATGTGAGATATAGTCTATGCGAGAAGAACAAAGTCGTTTCAGCAGCAGTTCCCAGTCAATTCCAATCCCCTACATTTTCATCATTCCAATTTTTTTTTAAATTTTTTTCATTTTTACTTTCCTCGTTCAAACGTATAACCTCAAGAACTCGACGAGAGTCATGATGGCCATGGCCTGGCCGTAGGGCATGCTCGTGCACTCGATGTCAAAGTAGTGCTTGTAGTCGCGGCCCATGCCGGTGCCGAAGCTGGTGTCGAGCAGCTCGCCGTCGGGGCTGATCTTGGCGAGGACGGCCTTTGTGGCGCGCATGGCCACGTCCTCGTAGCGGCCGCCGTCGGCGGGCAGGTAGCGCTTGCGCAGGGCCTTGAGGATGCCGTAGGCGAAGCCGGCCGTGGCCGAGGCCTCGACGTAGCTGCCCGCGGCCTCGGGCTCGTCGAGCAGGGTGCGCCACAGGCCGTCGGGCGTCTGCAGCGCGGCGAGGGCGTCGACCTGGGCGCGCAGCACGTCGAGCAGGTACTCGCGCGTCGCGTCGCCCGGCTGCAGGTCGAGCAGCTCGATGAAGTCCGGGATCACGATGGTGACCCACGCGTTGCCCCGGGCCCAGCGGGCGCGGGCGAAGTTGTGGCCCAGCCCGCCCTTGGGGCCGGCGCCCTTTTCGAACTGCCAGCCGTGGAAGAAGAGGCCCGTGTCCTTGTCGAACAGGAACTGCATGTGCACGAGGAACTGGCGCTTGGCCTCGTCGACGTAGTGCGGGCGGCCGAGCACGAGGCCGATCTTGGCCAGCGGCATCACCGTCATCATCAGCGTGTCGTCCCACAGCTGGCCGCGGTTCTCCTCGAGGTAGGTGATGTGCTGGAAGCCGCCGAAGGGGGTGCGCGGCAGGTCGTGCATGGCCCACTCGGCCCAGGACTCGAGCCAGGGGCGCCAGGTGTCGTCGCGCAGGCGCGGGTCCTCGTACAGGTAGGCCAGGGTGAGGAACACGGACATGGTGTTGATGTTCTTGGTGGTGCCCTCGGCGAGGCGGCCGGCGAACCACGACTTGATGACGGCGAGCGTGGGCTCAGAGGCGGTGAGGGTGTAGTATTGGTACAGGCCGTACAGGCCGATGCCGTGCGTCCATTCCCAGTCGTTCCAGCCCTTGGTGTCGATGACGCGGCCGTCGGGCAGGCGCAGCAGGAAGTGGCCGGTCTGGTCGTTGATGTTGACGAGGTTGTCGGTGAGCTTCTGGATGGCCGAGTGGATCTCGGAGGCGGGCAGCCCGTGGACGGTGAGGGCGGTAGGCATGTTGGGCGCTGGGAGGAGTCGTTCAGTCAATCGGGCGAGGATTCGCGCGACGTGGGAGACGATTTGGCTTTAAAGACGCGGACGACGCGCGCCCAGCAGGCAGGACCCGCGTCGCGCGCTGGATGCCCCACGGCAAAGAGCCGAGCCAGTGGCAGGAATTGCCCAGTTGGGTAGGCAGCTCTTGCGGGGCACTGCATGCAGGCGAGCGGCAGGCGGGCGGCAGGCGCCCCCACAGACAGCGACTGAGCCCGCGCGGCTCCCCCCGCCGGCGCCCTTTGACCCGAGGGGCGAGCAAACCACGGCAAAGCAGGATTCGCGCCAAGGCTGGTTCGCGAGCATGGACGCGAGTGGACGCGAGTGGGCGCGGTGGGCGCCCCGCCGTACCCCGGGCTTGCTCTCCGCACTCAGGAAGAGCAGGTGCTCCGCTCCCCGTGGGGCCAATTGGCTTCAATCCGGGGCCTCCATCGGCCCTTCCCCGAGCCTGCGGCGAAGTCGGTGTGGGCTCGTCCAGTGCCCAGCAGGCTCGCGTGCAGCTGCTCCTCGCCGGCGAAGCCGTCACACGCTTTGCCGGCTGCATCCCATGGCTCCAAGCTTTGCCGCTCGCTCCGCCGCCGCGCGTTGGGAACGAGGCCGCGACCGGGTTCCTGAGCCTCACCGAACCACAAACAACCGAGAGGACGGAATAATGCCTCCAAACCGGGAAACGCCTTCGGCTTATGTATCGCCCGCACCTGTGCGTGCATGCCTACCCCAGACCTTTATATTTGCCCCGAGCAGAGGTTGATCCATCTCTTCCTCCAGTTGTCGAGTCCAGACCTTATCCTGTCTCGCACTCCTCCTCCTCCTCCTCCTCCTCCTCTCCTCCTCTTCCTCTTTCTCGCCCCCTCCTCTCCTCTCCTCTTCTCTTCTCTTCTCCCTCCCCAGCAGCCAACCCCGTGGGAACACTGAGCGCGTACCCATACATCGCACCACTCAACACCATGGCCGCCTCACCCGACCATGTGGCGCACGGCGAGCGCCTGTCGGCCGACAACCGCGACGTCAAGAAGCACAGTTCTGATGTCGCTGAGATCGAGCGTGTCATGTCGACCGACCCGGAGCTCACCAAGTCCCACGCCAACCACGGCCGTCTGGACAAGGAAGTCGCCAAGTACGCCAGCGCCGTCGCTATCGAGATCACGCCCGAGGAGAACGCCCGCCTCAAGCGCCTGATCGACCGCCGCGTCTTGCCCATCATGGTTTTCACTTACTTTCTGCAAGCCCTCGACAAGGGCACCATGAGCTTCGCCAGCATCATGGGCATCAAGGACGACTTGGGTCTGGTTGGCCAACAGGTATGCGCCTCTGCTCACCCCTTCTCGCCGAAAGGGGCATGTGCCTGCAGTAGACATCAGGTCATGTCCGTCGAAGACGAGAAGACGACACCACCCCAATCACTTGCGATCGACGGGCTGACCAAATGCGCAACCAGTACTCCTGGCTCACCACCTGTATCTACATCGCCGTCCTGTTCGTCGAGTACCCCACCAATTGGATGATCCAACGCGTGCCGATTGCAAAGTACCTCAGTCTCAACGTCATTCTCTGGTCTGCGACTCTTGCCCTGCACGCCGCTTGCACAAACTTCCCCCAGATCCTCGCCGTCCGTACCCTGCTCGGTATCTTCGAGGCCGTCTGTCAGCCGTCCTTCCTGGTCATGAGTTCCATGTGGTACAAGCGTGAGGAGCAGGCCGAGACCGTCACTTACTGGTACATGGTGAGTTTCCCAAGCCAATCGCCCCCACTTTCACAAAGACCAAGGCAGCTGATGAAACCTGTCCGACTCTAGATGAACGGCGGCCAGCAGATCGTCGGTGGCCTTCTCGCCTACTGCTTCACCCTCATCCCCGAGAGCGCCCCCATCCACTCCTGGCAGGCTCTCTTCATCTGCTACGGCAGCGTTTCCGTGCTCTGGGGCATCTTCGTGCTGTGCTGGCTGCCCGACAGCCCCATGCGCGCCAAGTGCTTCTCCGAGGACGACAAGCGGCTGATGATCGAGCGGGTCCGGTCCAACCAGACGGGTCTGCAGAACAAGACGTTCCGATGGGACCACGTGCGCGAGGCCTTCACCGACCCGCAGCTGTACTGCTACTGCCTGATCGCCATCTGCACGACGCTGCCGACGTCGGGCCTGGGCGCCTTCGCCAACATCATCATCACCGGCTTCAAGTTCACCACCCTCCAGACGCAGCTGCTGTCCATGGTCCTCGGCGCCTACATCATCGTCGTCCTGCTCAGCTCCACCTGGCTCGTCAAGAAGACCCAACAGAACCTCATCATCATGGGCGTCTTTGTGATTCCGTAAGCCCCCCTCCTCCTCCTCTTCCTCTTCCTCCTCCTCTTCCTCCTCTTTTTGACCATTCGACAACAACAACAACATTGGACTAATCCATCCCCATCCCCCACAGCTCCTTCATCGGCACCATCGTCCTCCTCTCGGTCCAAAACACGGGCAAGGCCCAACAGGCCGGCCTGCTCATCTCGTACTACATCGTGCTCTCCTTCTGGGCGGCGCAGACGCTCGCCATGTCCATGATCTCGCGCAACATCGCGGGCCAGACCAAGAAGACGGTCATCGTGGCCGCCAACTTCGTCGCGTGGTCCGTCGGCAACGCCATCGGCCCGCAGGTCTTCCTCGACTACGACGGGCCGCGCTACTTCATCGCCTTCGCCACCCACATGGGCTGCTACGTGCTGCTCGTGCTCGTCATCGTCTTCCTGCGGTGGTGGCTGGTGCGCGAGAACAGGCGCAAGGACCGGCTGGTCGAGCAGCAGGGCGGGAGCGCGGGCAGGGACGCCGGCTTGGTGCATGCGTTTGAGGATTTGACCGACAGGGAGAACGTCAACTTCCGGTACATGTACTAGACCATTGGGGTACATATAGGCGGATAGCCTGGACGAGGAGAGTGGTGTGATGTTATCAACGTCTTTATTTTTTTTTCTTCCATAAATGCAGGAACGAATTCCATCTTTCCCAATCATTCCCCGTAGTTCTTTGACGTGAGACCTCACTCGTGTCCATCATATCCATCCAACACCAAAAGACCCAACCAACCCCCCACCTAATCACTCACTCATCCTCACCATTCCCCTTCTTCTTCTTCTTCCCGTCATCTGCCTCCACCATCGGCGGCCGCGGCACTTCCACACCTTCCACCTCCCACACCATCCCGATATAACCATCGCTCACAACCCTCACATCCACCACCCTCTCCCTATCGCTCTCCGGGAGCTTGATCTGCACCCTCGCGCTCGGCTTGCTGGCACCGCCACCACCGCCACCACCACCACTCCCCCCTACAGCCGCACCCACACCCGCACCCCGACCCCTGCCTCTCCCTCTCCCTCTCCCCTGCCCACCAGAAGAAGAAAAGGGCGAAGAACCAGAGTTCGAAGCCCACCCGACCCTCTTCAACGCCACCACCTCATCGCTCCCCCTCTCGCACACGACGACGAAGAAGCCCTCCGTCTGCGGCTTGGGGAAGCGCGGCGCATACATGCGGTGCTCGCGATTCGCCGGGCTGTTCCTGCGCGACAGCGTGACGGTCAGGCCGAGGGCGTTGACGGCGGGGACGGCGACGACGAGGTCGGGAAGGGCGGCGAGGGGTTTGAGGGCGCGGGGCAAGGCGGCTGCTGCCGCGACGCCGACGTCCTTGAGGGCTTGTTCGACGACGGCGAAGCGGGGGCCGGAGGAGACGGCGTCGACGAGGTTCCTGGGCCTCGGTGGTGCGGCGTTTTCTGCATTGTTGTTGACGCGCTCGCGCTCCGCCGCGACGTTGACGCCGGGCAGGATGGCGAGCGGCCCGTCGTCGGGCCAGCGCGCGCTCTTGACGCACTGCAGCAGCGTCATCATCATCAGCGCGCTGCTGGCCAGGCCCAGCTCCGCCAGCACGTCGATCGACGCCTGGATGATGCGGATCGCCTGGTCGAGCACCGACGTCTGGTCGCCTACGTAGTCGGAGATGGGCAGGTCGAGCTGCGCAAAGTGCGCCTGCAGCAGCAGGAAGGCCTTCGTGTGTGGGTCCCATAGCGGCAGGTGTCCGAAGGCCTCGTCGATCTTGAGCGGCAGCGCCGCGTTGAGCTCGGCGTTGATGAGCTCCTCATTGTGCCGCACCGGCAGCTCGTCGTACTCGGTCGCGCTGCTCATCCACGCGAGCACGTCGGCGAAACTGGCGTTGGGCTTGGCGTGCTTGATCAGGTGCCGGATCGTCTTGTGTGAGAGGTAGTAGTACGACATGATCTTGCCGAGCGGCGTCGGGTCGATGTCGCCGTTGGAATGGAGCGTGGCGCAGCCCGATTCAGCCAACTCGGACACGGACTTGTCCACGAGGTCGACCATGTAGTCGTTCGCAAGTTGCTGCGCTGCTGTCGTATTGTGCTCCTCGGCCGAGATTTCGAGGCCGTAGTAGGATGGGTTCTTGTGCAGACGACGGAAGAAGAACGTCCAGGTGAGGTAATCGAGCGCATCTTGCTTCGTGGCAATGGTCTCTGCGGAAATCTCGGCGCCCAAATGGTTGTCCACAACTTTGTGGAGGGTGGACTCTACAGGAAACCCGGTGTGAAGGAAATGCTTGTAGAAATCCTTCTTTGAATCTTGTGTGAAGATGCGAGCTATACCTTGCGTGTCGAACTGCGGACGACCAGCACGGCCAAGCATCTGGAGCACATCTGTCAAATCCATGTCCCGATATGCTTCGATCTTGGCGTCGAAGTACTGCGTGCCCTTGACGACGACTAGATGCGCTGGCAAGTTAACACCCCAGGCAAGAGTGCTAGTAGCCACCAGAATCTGAATCTTGTTGTTCGCGAAGAGCTCTTCCGCAAGCTGACGGTCAGACTCGACGAGACCAGCATGATGGAGACCGATCCCAAAGCTGAGCGCCTCGCGCAAGGACTCGTCCTTGACGCGGGCGAGGTTCAAAGCCAAATCATCCTCGGACATCTTGACAAAGCGTCTGGGATTGTCTTCCATGCCACAGTAGTTGATGAGGTCCCTCGCAGTCAGACGGGTTTGGCGACGAGAAGCCACAAACACAATGACAGGCTTATCGGGAGAGTGGGTCTTGATGGCCAGGAAAGTAGGCCGATTCATGGACTGCATCAGAGGGCAGAACCCTCTCTGTTCCGGAAAGCCGTCAATGTAGATTTCAAGCGGCACTGGACGCACTGAGTGGCGGAAGTTGAACAGGCCTGCCTTGACACCGAGCCAGTTCCCTAGATCCGTAGCGTTGGCACAGGCAGTTGACATGCCCATTAGACGAACCGAACCCTTCTTTTGGGAGGCAATGTAGTTCATACGGGAAACGATGATTTCCAGGATAGGTCCACGGTCACCACCAAGCAGGTGGATCTCGTCGATGATGACCAGACTGACTTTGCGAACATAGTCACGAGTCTGCCAGCTACGACTGATACCATCCCATTTCTCGGGGGTGGTGATGATGATGTCAGCGTCTCTGATGGAGCGAGTATCGGGTGTGTTGTCACCAGTCAACTCAACCAGCTTGAGACCCATTTGAGTGGTCAAGCGTTTGCCCCAGTCCTGAACTCGCTCACGAACCAGTGCCTTCATTGGGGCAATGTAAACGACCTTGGAGCCAGGATTCTCTCTGAAAGCCCACCACATGGCCAGCTCGCATGCAACTGTCTTGCCACTTCCAGTGGGTGAACCAAGAAGAACATTCTCCGATGTATGGTAGAGACAGTGGAACAGCTGTGTTTGCATGGGGTTGAAGTACTGGAAGCGCTGTCCGTATATCTCTTCCAAGAGCGGGTTCTTGAGGGCAGAAATCGGCAACGGCTGGAGGTTAAGAAGGTCCGTGTATACGCTCTCAGTATCAGGCCGGATAAGATGCTGGAAAGAGACCGGAGTGACAGTCTCAGCACCAAGCCATCTATCCGAGACCGCACGAACATAGATTTGCGAGGGAAGTGGGTCGGTGAGTGGGATGGTGAAGTTGAGCTCGTGATCATCGTAAAGCTTCCTGCGGGAAAGGATGAAGTACTCGTGGTGGTAGATTTCCGAGGTTTCCGAGTTTTCAACCCAGATCCAGTAAGACTCCGACGCGCCATGGTGGCGATCGTTCCAACGGAACTCTGGTGTCAGATACAGACGAATCCTCAGAACGTCACGGTTCAAGGGGGCGATTTCCGCTTCGACGCTCAAGGTCGGGAAGTTGTCGAGGAGCTTGCTAACGGTATGGCCCATTTTGGTGTTGTGAACGAGTTGACCGATCTCGGCTGGTTCCAAGTCTCGAAGTGCCTCGATGGAGGACATGGAGCCTTTCTCATCCAAGTTTCTCAAAACAGGTCGTGGGAGGTCGAACTGATGAAACGGATGCTCAAACGGCCAGACCTGTCTTTCGATAGACTTGCACAGCGACAGCAAGACCAGGCACTGGTGGCCCCAACGTCTGTTCAACGCAATCATGAACAGAGCCCTGCAGATACGAGTAGCGTTCTGCGCGACATAGTGTGTATCAGACTGAAGAGTGTAATCTTCCAGGCGTGCCTTCGAAATGTAGCTTTGGAGAAGAACATTGGTCTTCGAATGAGGCGTTCCAATGCCACCTGCAATATCGCAAGGAGTGATGTTCTCGTCCTCCTTCAGACGTAAGAGTTCTTTTTCCTCGGAATCTCTGGATTGGATGTTGTCGAATTCGCCGCTCATACTAATCATCTTGAGCACATCTGCCTCGGATGCCTGCGCTCGCATCATGGTGTTGAATATCTCGACGCTGGTCTGGAGAATGTAATATTGGCTGGCAATACGACCAACATCCTTCGCTTTCAACTCCCCAGTTGACTCGTTAAAAATGATCATCTGGCTCTGCTGAAGAACGCGAGCAGCATCGGTGATCAGCTTCGTCCGACGCCTGACCAGAAGCGGGTCGTCGCTGATCTCCATCCAGTCGATGCCGTAGCTAGGAGGATTCCGTTGCATGCGGACGAACAGGTAGGAGTAGCCAAGCCAGGCGACACCTTCTTGGACTGAAGTGACCGTACCCAGTGAGATCTCTGCGTTGAGGTTATCCACCAGTCTCTTGGAGAAGTTGGACTCGATGGGTTGTTGCTGGGTGACGGCGCCCAAGTAATGCTGGAGCTTGTCATGGGTCGTGCAAATGAAGCCGATACCAGTGTCCTCAAACTGAGGTCGACCAGCACGACCGAAGATCTGCAGGACGTCGAGAATACCGACATCAACAAATTTACCCTCCTGAGCACTGTAGAGCTGCGTTCCCTTGATAATGACAGCGGCTGCCGGCAAGTTGACACCCCATGCAAGCGTGGCAGTACAGCAGAGAACCTTGATAACTCCGTCGGCAAAGAGGCGCTCAATCAAGTTCCGATCAGACCTTGGCATACCGGCATGGTGCGTTCCCATTCCCTTAGGCAGCAGCTCACGCAGCTCCCGGCCTTTCGAGGATTTCATGTCACGCACAGCCAGGTCGTAATTCGGGTGGCCAGTTGGGTCGAACAAATCGGTAGACGCGTCTTCCATGGCCTTTTCATAAAGAGTTTTGGCGGACTTGTAAGTATCCTTGCGGGAATGGACGAACACCATGATTTGATGGCCTTGTTGGAGCATAGCTTTGACTTTTTCGAAAGCCACTTGGTCGATATTCTCTCTAGATTTGGCGGTACCCGCCTTACCTTTCACTCCTATGAAATGCTGCTCGAGCGGAACGGGTCGGAAAGAAGCGTCAAAATAAAACAGCCCAGCCATGCGGTTGACCTTGAGGAAATCGGAAACATCAATGTAGTTCGGAAGCGTGGCGGACAAGCCGACAATGCGGATGAGCGACTGCGTGCTCTCAACTTGGCGCTGGGTGCGAGCCACAAGAGACTCCAGGACAGCACCACGCTCATCGTGCAGCATGTGGACCTCGTCGATGATGAGCAAGCGAACCTTTTGAACCAGCTCGGTATCGCCAGTGCTCTTGCGTGTAACGACATCCCACTTCTCTGGGGTCGTCACGATGATCTGAGTGGCTACGATTTCCGCTTTGGTGAGATGCATATCTCCGGTAAGTTCACGAACCTGGATTCCCAACCAGGCGAGCCGCTTCCCAAGTTTCTCGACAATTTCAGCAGCCAAGGCCTTCATGGGTGCAACATAGACGATCTTGAAATCATCGGTCTGGACGACAAAGTCGGTGGCCTCGGGCTCCTCCCAGGGACTGGGGATGATGTTTTTGGCGACGGTATTGAGGATGGCGAGCATTGCAGCATCAGTTTTACCAGCACCAGTAGGAGCGCAAATAAGCATGTTCTCGCTGGTCCTGTATGCAACTTGGTAAACCAAGCTCTGCATGCGATTAAGGGTCTGGTAGCCCTTGAAAGTCCGTCTGCAGAGCCCATCCAGATCGCTAATTTTGACCAGCTTCCGCCCAGCCCCCAGTGTCCCAACGCGAGCGGCCGGGATCGAGTACTCCTCAAACTTGTCGTTGTCCTCCCTCGTAGAACCGAGAGGAAGAGCATACTTCTTGCCAGAGCCTGATAAAGTGTTGCCAGAGTCGTGTGATTTGTACACATGAGGATACTGTTCGCCGCCTCGCTTGACACTTTCTGCAAGTGTGGCGTTCTTATGCTCATAGTCCTGCCTCCTCAGAGCTTCCTCACGGTCCTGCTTGGACTGTAGACGGCCCAGGACGCCACTCCTCTGCTGTTCAGCCTGGGCGGACTTGATGACCTTCTTGCGGTTACTGATGAGGTCAGCGACCAGGTCGAGCTCACCGTAGCCGACAACGTCGGCGAGCATCATTTGGAGCTCCTCATCACTGCTATCAGAACTTAAGAGAGCTATGATCTGGTCCTGGAGGGATTGGGCGTCCAGCCCAGAGCTGCGCTGAGCCACCTGGGCACACTGCTGACTGAGCCAGCTCTGGCTGTACAGCGGTGCAGGGGCGGCAGCGTCAGTGGTAACAGCATCGGCACCATCCAGTTGGTCGCTGCTGTAGTCAGCGCTCTCCTCATCGCTGATGAGATCCCAGATGTCGTCGCCGCTCGCGGTGCCGGAAAGTTCCTCATCATCGATGTCCATGTCGGCGCCGTAAGCGGGTGCATCGCCGTTCTGTTGAGGAAGCTTGAGGTCCGCGATGGCGGCACGCATCTCGGCCAGCTGGGCGAGCCATTGCGACTCGGCGACCTCCAGAGCAGGTGACATGGTGGTAAGATGTCTCGGATGAGTTGGGGCAATAATGCAGGCTGGCGACGCAGGCGGAAGGGTTGAGGCGGGCCAGAGTCGGTCGCAGGTGACGAGAATTCCCAGCACGTCCAGGCAGCTGCAGAAGGAGTGACGATGACAGGCCGGCGGCGACGGACGGTGCACATGCCCCACCGGGCTGCGGGGGCTTGGCGCTAGGCCCTCACCGCCTTCCGGACCGGGATGTCGCGGTTCCGGCCTGCGCCTCTGGGCACTGACGCTGAGCTCCGGCTCCCAGGCCGCCAAGTATCCCGCCCATCCACCTGCGTTTCAGACCCAACATCCTCCCTTCCCTACACGCTGTCTTCTCCCGCCTTACGACCGCCAGCCTCCTGCCGCAGCCTTACTTTGCATCCATCCGCTAGACGCCATCATGAAGATCCTCTACATCGGCGTAGGGCCTCCGCTTTGTCCCTGGGAGCCCCTCCGCTGACGTCGATGTCCAGATCCTCAAGAACGAGCAGAAGCCCGCCGTCGAGCTCTGCTCCGAGGCTGAGCTTAGCAGCTACTCCCGCTTTACCCGTACGAGGTGCGCCGCCGCAACCCCCGCCCGGCTCCCTTGCCACGCCCTACTGATCTCCTGTTCAGCGTCGGAGAGTTCATGACTCTGTTCAGCAAGACTGTAGCCGAGAGGACAAAACCGGGACAGCGCCAGGACGTCGAGGAGCAATGTATGCTGCCCGTGGCTTCTGCTGGTCGGGCCCTGTGTTGACCGGTGCTGCAGCCTACACCTTCCACGCCTATGGCCGCACCGAGGGCATCGCCGGTATCATCATCACTGACCACGAGTACCCCGCGCTCGTCGCCCATCAGCTGCTCTCCAAAGTGGTCGATGAGTTCCTGAACAAGTACCCGCGTAATGTCTTCACCGTCTCGGATGCGGCCTGCCCCATGCCGGAGCTCAAGGAATACATTGTCAAGTACCAGGACCCGCAGCAGGCCGACAGCATCATGAAGATCCAGAAGGAGCTTGACGAGACTAAGATCGTACTGCACAAGACCATCGAAAGCGTGCTGGAGCGGGGAGAGAAGCTTGACAGCCTGGTGGCTAAGAGCGATGGCCTTAGCGCACAGAGCAAGATGTTCTACACCCAGGTGCGTGCACTGCCGTGCTGCGGTATCTAATCGTTTGCTAACACGATCTCCCACGATAGGCGAAGAAGCAAAACTCGTGCTGCATTGTCATGTAATTTCTTTTTCGGTGTTGTCGGAAATAGGTTTGCCAGGCAGGCCGCATAATGATTATCTAATGACAGATCCACCACATACCCAGACTGAGGATATATAGTAAAGCATCACCCAGGACGGTGTACATTATACCTGAGCAATTGACCCGTGCCCGATGCGTATGCTGCGCCGCAGTTGCCTAAGATTAGCGCCGGACGCAAGCCTGTTGTGCCGCTGACGTGCGAAACAGGTCATCCCGCAAATTGGCCTTATCGCAAGGCGGCAAACCATCATGCGAAATGTCGAAGAACGATCAGCGAAGCGTTCCGCACGGCGCTCCCTGCGGCGGTGGAGCCTCGAATACGCAACCGTTATTTAGGTTTCATTATCACGATTGCGGTAAGGGCATGGCCACCAGATGATCCGTTCGAGATTGTCTACTCCTTTTCATGCCTGTAACGCATCTCCATATACACTCCACAGCGCTTTGGGCTTCTCTCTTCTTCAACACCCACCACGCTGATACGGGTGCCCTTATCTTTCCTTCTCTACGATGCTAATTTTCTGGACACTTTTACCCACATCACAACATTGCCATGGCTCCCAATCTAGACCGCGCTTCCACTCCCACCAGCGGGGCTCCTAGACCCAGCTTGGCCAAAATCGATACTTCTTCCCACATCAACGATGACTCGAGAAACCCTTCGCCCACGTCGGAATTTTCCTTTACCTTTTCCATCTTCGAACGGACAGCCAGCGATGGCGAGCGCACGCCCACCGGCCTCACCCGGATCGACGTCATCTCCAACCACTCCCGCGGCGAATCCTTCAGCATCTCCTCTCCAACCTCGGACTTCTCGTTCCGCTTCTCCAGCATGGACCCGCCGCCGGCGCCGCAGCGGCGACGCGAGACGGTGACGTCGTCGACGCGTCGGCACAAGCGGCGCGCCACCGGCCTCACCAGCATCAGCACCACGTCGTCGGCAGCGGCGGCAATGGACCCGTTCGGCAGCAGCAGCGGCAGCAGCCGCACGACGGCGGCCAACAGCCGGGTGGCGTCGCCGTCGCGGTCGTCGTCCATCTTCTCGTACCGCGTCTTCACGCCGGCGCAGGCCGAGTTCTTCCCGCTGCGCCGCATGAGCAGCGTCGTGTCGCCGGGCAGCCTGCTGGAGCGGCTGCCGGCGGAGCTGCACCTGGAGCTGGTCGGCCACCTGGGCGCGTGCGAGGCCCGCACGCTGCGCCTCGTGTCCAAGTACTGGCGCGCCGTCGTGTCGCAGTGGTACAAGCGCGACGCGCTGTCGGTCCGCCTGCCGCTCGACGTGCAGCTGCGCATCGGCGGCTACCTCGACGTCGAGAGCCTCATCGCCATGCGCGCCACGTCGCGGTACTGGCGGGAGGTCGTCAAGAAGCACGGCAAGGACCCGGCCGTCGTGCATTCGACCCGGAGCGCGCTGCTGTGCACGTATGACGAGTGTCTCGGGAGGGGCACCAGCATGTATTGGCGGCTGTGGATTCGCATCCTGAGGACCATCCAGAGGGAGAATGCGTGGGTGTGAGAGGTCGCGAGGCTTGGGCACTGACGCCCATCAGATGTTGCAATTTGGACTGCGCGCTCGATTGCCTTCCTTGACAGCGTGCGTGCGCCCAGTACACAGGGGTTTCGAGGAAAGGTTGTGGAACTCCTCTTGCTGTGGGTTTCCCGTGGCTTCCGCAGCCTCTCCCGGCTCGGTGGACAAGCGCCTCGTGCTCCCAGATGCACAGTTGCGCCCCGTGTTCTTTTTCCGTGCTGGAAAAGGGCGGCAGCCGTGAAAAGCCCACGCCACGCGCGTCGTTCGCCTGCTGCAAGAGGTCGATCTAGGGCGAGAGATATCGAAGACTGATCGGCAGAAACGCCTCTCTTTTCGTTCTGCCATTCTTTTCCGGCTTCCGCACATGTAAATTGCTGGTCGAGCAACTTTGACTCGATCTTGTTCGTTCTTCTCTTTTCTTTGGCTTGCTTTTCACTTTCAAGAGCGTCTTGATTTTCATTTGCTTTCTCTGTTTCACAAGCGATGCGGAGTTCCCTTTGTAGATACCCAGGTGGCGGCGTATTCCTTTGTCCTTATTCGATTCTTATAGCATTTGGCTATCTGTTTTGGGTTTCAGCGTGGCCCTATTCGCTCTCTGATATTTCCTTGATGCTTCAATCAGATTTCAAGTAGCCCTTGTGGCCAGACCGAGGAATAAATCACTACCACCAGCACAGAGAGACCGATATGGAGAAGTGTTTCAGTGATGTTATGCGTGTAGTCACGGGCCCAATCATGTCCAAAGTCGTCACGGTAAAGCCCCAAACCCTTTTTCCTCTTTTCTAGTACTTGACGGTGGAGGTGCTCAACGACCTTGAAGCGGCTCTGATCCATGTATATGGCTGCCAGACTGGACAAGGCGGTGATGGATTGCAGAAACTTGGGCCGATGGGAAAGTCGTGCGTGTGGTACGGCAGGGCTGCGCCTTGGCTTTGCAGGGATGCTGGAATCAGCCTGATTCCTTGTGAATTGGTTATGGGTAGCACATCAAAGCGGACGACAAAGCAGATATATCAACTTGTTTCGGAGGCGACGTGTTACACCTGCCCTTTCCTTGCCCAGAGCAGCTGGAACTGGCGGCGTGTATATCTTGTCGAACACTCTCAAAGCCTTATTTGGAACAGTTGTGGCCCTCTTGCCAAGAGCTGAGCCCGCCACCGATGCCTAATCGAGCCATGTTTTGCGGCGCAGCGCAGCCATCCCATTCGAGTGGCTTGCACGCGCTTGCTCAGCCCCGCTGTGCGGCTGAGTGTGACAAGCTATAACACAGACCTTGGCTGAAGCAGTTTACGCTTTGGCACAAAAGCCAATTTTTCATTCAAACAGATCAGCTATAATACGCATCGAAGCTCTCGAAACATCGTGCCCAATATGGGAAAGCGTAACAGAAAGTCAAAAAGGAAAGGAAAGAATCGAATGCTCCACGTGGATATAAACTCGGATGAATGGTATGAAGCAGGAAATTCAGGCTTCAGGTCTAATGGGGTGTGTGACGCAATCGGGTCTCAAAACAAGTGAGTAGAGGTCTACGCAGATGTTGTTTCCAGCAGTCAATCTTACAGCCCGAACTAAGTGACTTCAGTGATTCTGGTCCCCTGTGCAAGCTTTGCTCATCTACCTTCTCATCACCAAAAGAGGGCTGGCCTGACGATGGTGACGTGCACTGGAGCAAGATTCACCCGCACCAGGCAACGCTGGCTGGACTTCTCCGAGCCAAGAATGAAGGATGCTACGTTTGCAGCATACTTTACCAGGAGCTGAGGGTGTCAAACAGGCTGAAAGAATACAGGTCGGTTTTCTACAGGATTGAAGTGACGGATTTCGATGTTGAAAGCATTCTGTACGGCCACTTTTCTACCGATGAGATACCAGAGGAGAGCGCATCGTCATCCAGAGCTTGGGAGGACATTGTGAGGCTGGGATTTTACAAGTGCGACAGAGGTAAATCTCGTGTGCTTGAAGAAATGAAAGGTTGACTGACACACGCAGGCTTTCCAGAGAGCCTCATATGCAACCAGCTGAGTGAGAGCACCAAGACAGAAGAAAGTCTCGTGGCTGCCTCGGAATGGCTTCACGCATGCAGACAGAAAGACGAAGATCACTCCATGTGCACCGTTCGCCGCAACCACAATCCCACGCTACCTACAAGGCTGGTCTACTGCGGGAGCGACGTGGACCCGCCAAGAGTCTGTGAGAGCGCAACACTGCCGCCATGCACCGAATACCTTACCTTGAGCCATTGCTGGGGAACGAAGCCCATATTTTCGCTGACCGTCGAGAATGAGGAACGGCTTAAAGCAGAACTGCCCAAGGGAAAACTGACCAGGAGCTTTCTCGATGCCATCTTCGTCACTCGCGCTCTGAAATTCGAATACATCTGGATAGACTCGCTGTGCATCATCCAAGACTCTCACGAGGACTGGGCTGCCGAATCAGTCACCATGGGAAGCGTCTACGCAAACGCGGTGCTCAACATCGCCGCTACCGGGGTAGCCAGTGGAGAGAAGGGGTTTTTTGCCACCAGAGATGCAGCCATATTGCCTCCGCTCAAGCTTGGTCTGAATCTTGGTCAGCCCTGGCCGGACTACGACATCGTTTTGAAAGGAGAGTATTGGCTGCACAAAAGGACGTTCGACGACGACGTTGACAAAGCCCCGCTGAACACCCGTGGCTGGGTACTGCAAGAGCGCATACTCTCGCCAAGGATTTTGCACTTTGGAAGTAACCAGATATACTGGGAGTGTCCGTCCTTGGTCGCGTGCGAGGTGTTTCCCCGTGGTTTCCCTACCGACGTAGAATTCATACGCAAGGGAATCCGGTCTCCTGCCTTTGAAAAATACGCCAGCCAAGCCAAGGGGGAGATCTACGGGCAATGGCGGGGCGCAGTCCAATCCTACTCAAGCCGAGCCTTCACCAAGCGTCGCGACAGATTTCGTGCGATTTGGGGGATTGCTTCCGAGATGGGCGCTCTCCTCGAAGACGACTATGTGGCCGGGTTGTGGAAAGGGGATCTCTTGCGCGAGCTCCTTTGGATCGTCCATCAGGAAAACGAATGGCCAAACCGAGTCATCCGTCTGAGTCTTGAATACGAGGCACCGACGTGGTCATGGCTATCGCTCAACGCAAGATTGTCGTACACACACACTTCGCCTACTGGAGATTACGATGAGTTTCATGCCGAACTCCTCGATGTTCAGGTCACTTCGCTTGACACGACCGGCTACGGCCCTTTTTCTGATGGACACATTCTAGCAAAGGGACCGGTGAAAAAGGTGACAGCCGGCGGATTTTCAGACGGTTATGGGTGGTTTCTACTTGACCAGTCCGTCGCACTGGAAATAATGTCGGATTTTGACTTCGATGCTCCTTGGCGCCATACGACTTCCCGTTGCATCTTGACACAACTCCCTACCGATGAGCTCGAGATGAGTTTTGACTGGGGATTCCTCCCGCGCCATGCACTCTACCTTTTTCCCATCAGGTCCGGATTGGATCATCTCGATGAGGTGGAACTCCAAGGCCTTCTTCTTGCTCCAACTTCTCGAGCACATGGCGAATACCACCGCATTGGAGTGTTCACCGTGGGGTCCAAATTGGACCAACAGCTGATCTTGGGTCCTACAGAGAGTCTAGGTGAGCATGAGTACGAGAAGGATCATGGTGGTGGACAGTATTCCATCAAGATTGTTTAGAGCACCATGCAGACTCTCCATGGAGTCCACTTTAGCTTTTCATAACGCAACTCTTCTGAAAGTACCCCCTTCGATTTTCCGTCTACGTGATATTCTTCCATCAGCAGCAGTTAGTGCACCGGCGTAGGTTCGGTCGAATGGTTACCTTCAGCCAGTCGAAGATAGCATATTGGTGCATGAGGTGTCCGATCAAGCCAAACGGTGAGTGGAGTCTTGGGCAGTCGAGTAAGAAAATGAACAAGCTTCTTCGCGACGAATATGTGCTTTGGAAGGTTCAGCACTCAACGGTGATGGGTGAAGGGCTACTGACACTGCCCCGCATGGAGCACGTGACTACTTCGAGTCTCGTCTTGTTCCAAAGTCTGATGATCATGCCGTACATCAGTTCCTCATATGCCAGGAGGAAGATGAAATGGGAGTCTCATAGCGCTGAGTATGTAGGGGTGCCTGGGAGCAATGGCGCAATGTATGGCGTGAGAGCTGCAAGCATGACATACATCTTGGGGCTCAATGAACAAATGAGGGGAGGAGAAACATCCCTGCGGCGATGGAGCTTCTGTGAGATGGATTGGAGTAGCAAGGCGGACAGATGGAAGAGACGGCGGACTGGCGCTGTGCAACCACGGCCCAGTCCGACGGACCCTGGTGACGTCAGCAGCCGCTAAGCATTGCAGCTTCCCCGGACGGGACCCCGAGATCAACACCACCTGCCCCAACCTCGGCTCCGGCCAGCCTGCACTGCTCGGGAGAAGTCGCGCGACAAAACCAAAGACACCACACACACCAGCATGCACGCGACTCCTCCACGCCCACCACGACCACCATGACCACCGTGACCACCACCGCTTCCCCGCTGCCGGCGACAAAGCCCGCCCAATCCAACAACCACGTCCACGACGCCAATGCCCCGCCCATCCCAGCCCACGTCTCCCTCCTCGCCGGCGGCGCTGCCGGCGCCATCGAAGCCGCCCTGACCTACCCCTTCGAATTCGCCAAAACCCGCGTCCAGCTCAAGAACGAAACCAGCAACACTACCATGCCCGCGCGGCCGCAGCCGCAGCCGCAGCCGCAGCCCTACAAGAGCCCCAACCCCTTCGCCATCATCCGCGCCGTGGTCCGGCACGAGGGCGCGCGCGCCCTCTACGCCGGCTGCACCCCGCTCGTCATCGGCTCCGTCGGCAAGGACGGCGTGCGCTTCCTCTCCTTCGACCTGATCAAGCGGCAGTTCGCGGACCGCGACACGGGCACGCTGACGCCGCTGCGCAGCCTGCTGGCCGGCATGACGGCGGGGGTCGTCGCGTCCGCCACCGCCGTCACGCCGACGGAGCGCATCAAGACGGCGCTGATCGACGACGCGCGCGCGGGCGCGGGCGCCGCCGGCGGCGAAGGGCGGTTCCGCGGCAGCATGGTCGAGGCGGTCCGGGCGGTGGTGCGCGAGGACGGCGTGGTGCGGGGGTTGTATCGCGGCTTTGCGGGCACGACGCTGAAGCAGGCGAGCGCGACGGCCACGCGCATGGGCACGTACAACGTCCTGAAGGACTGGGAGCGCGTGCGCGGCGTGGAGCAGACGACGGCGGTCAACTTCGCGAACGGGAGCGTCGCCGGCATCGTCACGACGTACGCGACGCAGCCGTTTGACACGATCAAGACGCGGTGCCAGAGCGCGAGGGGGGAGTCGACGGCGGCGGCGGTGCGGAGCATCTGGGAGGATGGCGGCGTCAAGGCGTTTTGGAGGGGCACGGTGATGAGGTTGGGGCGGACGATTTTCAGCGGTGGCATCTTGTTCACGGGTTATGAGAGGATGGTCAAGATTTTGGATCCCCTCATTGGGAGGGGGACGGGATATGCTTGAGACGGCTTCACTTCATGGTCATTAGAGGGAACAAGAGCATATACGTAAGAAAGAGCTTTTAGCATTTGGTGGGAACTTGGGTTCAGAGCAGTCAGCGAATAGAGTGGAAAGCAGAAAAGCGCCGACCAAACTTGTTTGCTGTGATGCGATCTTGTATTAAGAACCAGACCTGCAGGTAATGACGCGAGACCACAGTTTTCGTGCTCCAGCAGAATCACGTGGATGTTACACGATATGCTGACTGCACGTGGATCCATAAAAGTGGCATACTTAGCAGGGGGATGATCAGTCGACCTGCGGGGCAACGGGAAGACAATGAAAAGTCCGTCCAGGTTGCCATCATGAAGGACATAAACAAAAGTTGCCGCACTGGTATCCTGTCGTTGGGAGAAGATGCCAGTGAAAGAGCGGGCAAATCTCGTCAACGGTTCTCGTCAACACGAACAAGGCGTGCAGTTGACCTGGTACATACATTTCTCTGAGCAAGGTTGGTGCGGAACGCTACGTTGACAACGCTTGCTCTGCATAGAAGAGGTGGTCCATCGATCCGGCCAGATTATTCACGCCTCGTGATTGAGGCTCTTGTCGACGCAGTATTGGCGATTATGGACAACGAAGACTACCGTATTCAATCAACGGTGTGAAACAAGCCCATCGGGCCGCCGTGGCGGTAACTACCTGGGCTCCAGACCATTTGTTGTTATCATTTCACAACGGAAAAAGGAGGTGGAAGGAGTGGTCTGTGTCAAGCGTCTACGCGGCGGTTTGAAGTGCCTGAGACAATTGACGATTGTATCATCAAGATTCGCGCGCTGCGGATTGGTACAGTCCAAGAGATTGCTGCTATCCATAAGGATCCTGGGGAGTTCTACGCAGTGATGGATGGCTGAAAAGTATGGGCGGAGCAAGCGCATAGATCACCAGCAAGGCAAGCTGGGGCAGATATGCCATTGGCGGAAAGGTTTGGAGCGTTGTGAAGAAGGCCATAAAGATCAATTTTGACTTGGGGCAATTATTCTATTGCAAACCATTAGATAAACCGTGGAGATCCTTCGAGAACGACTATTAAGCGGGACATGCAGTTTGGAAAGCTGCGAAAGAGACTGACCCATATTTCTATCTTTTAAGGCCCATACTTCGCAAATGTAAACAGATTGTGAACCACGAGGATGTTCACCACAAATGCTGGACGCTTGGGAACGAGGAAGGGAGGTATGGCTAAAGGCGCTGAGATCTACCTATTGACGGGAAGAACATCAACATGTTGTCTACGGAGGGGCGCGCGGTCACTTTTCACGGCGGATCCACGACCCCTATTTTCTGGGATTAGAGAATACTACGTCGAAGGAATTTGGATGGAGAGCTTGTTGAGGGGAATTGGAGAAGACTTGTAGAAGAAATAGCGCTTCCATGATCTAAACGAACGGTGGATACAGGGCACGATAGCTTCAACCCCTTGAAGTCAAGGCCATCGAATCCGAGATACCAGCCTGCAGAACTCTTACATGGCAGAACCGACACCGTCGAGACGGCGATTGCACTAAGGTGCATACTCAACGTAGCTCCCATGTTGCCCGCGCCTCCACGGCGCCAGGAACAACAAATGACAACCTGCGCACCAGCCATGACCACACAACGTCCGCACCGCCGCTGAGCGGCCCTGAACGAGTGAGCGCGCCTTCGAGGCGCAGTCACCGGTGGGAAAGCCCACGGCATCCTCCGCACCAAGGTGCCGGTGTCTTGGCCCGCGCGGAGCCGGCGGAGACTACTGACGGACAATGCGGGAAGGAGCCAGCTGGCATTACTTCCCAATGCAATCGTCGTCGTCTTAATCAGCCCGGCCGTTGCCGCCGCCGTCAGCACCGCCACAGCTCCGCCCCGTGCCCCTCCGTATGGGACTCCGCTCCTCCGTCCGGGCGGAGATTGGGGAGAGGGTGGTGCGGGGTAGCCCGAAGCCCGTCTGGGGTAAGTAAGCCAGTAGCACCACGAGCGCGTGCCAACCAACAGGATAGAATAGGTACCCGCCCTGTACGTTCCCAAGGAGGGGAGGGGGTTTGTTAGACTCTAGCAAGCTAGCCGGCCAGCACACATCGTCAACGGCTAAGCTAGCCAGGTGTCTAGTCTCGTTCTCGCATTCCCCGTAAAGAGGCAAGCGCGGGAGGTAGAGTGGTGGCGAAGGAGTTAGCTCAGATGGGTTTCACGTGGCCCTTTCCGCACCGTCATCACCACCCCAGATTTCTTTTCCCGTTGCTCTTTCTCGCTAGCCCCGGACGCTTGTTGGCTAGGCTCAGGTACGGCCGAGGTGGCGTTGCGGCGGTTGGAGTCTGGCTCGAAACGCTCGTGCCCAGGGGCGCCGTAGGCAACGTGGTGGTGGCGGCGACGGCGTGTGTCACGAGTGCATGTTGCGTGTGCGGCGGACGCGGTCGTCTGGCGAATGCATGTGAGGACGACGGACGGCAAGGAGAAGGAGGAGGAGGATGAGGACTGCAGACTGACGGTGCCAGGTGATAGGCGGAAAGGGAGTTGAGGTGCGTTAGTCGGCAAGAGCGCGTGGTGATATTGCGGCCCTGCGTCTGTGTTGGCACGATAGCTGCAAGCGCGGGGAAGACGAGAGGAACTGGATGGAAAGTCGAAGTGTTGCTGAAGCCGCACCGGCGCTTTCTCAGCATTCAGGATCCCCCGGCCTTCCCCCACACTTTCGTGCCCGCCCGCCGCCGTTCCACGGATCATCAGGGCAAGCCAGTCTCACTACCGCGCTAGCGTCGAGCCAACAAGGCCGGCTACCGGCGGTAGAGCGGACTGATAGGGGCTGGAAAGGGAGGGGATACGGCTGGCAATCTGATAGTCTCGTACCAAGCAAGACTTGGTCACTAGCTAGCAGCATTTTTCCAGGGTCCTGTCAGGCATTGCTTGTCTGGCGAATGCTTCTCTCGTCTTCGGCAAAGCGGCTGGATAGCGGCAAAGCGTGTCCAAGGCATCTTGATTTACACCGCTCGCGCGCGGCGGGCCCGGAATGGCGTGCGAAATAGAGTTTCGGCGCTCTCGCAACGAGGACCGGCAATCATCAGGCAGCAAGCAGGCCGAAAGCAGTTCGCAGCCGGGGAGCCGGGGAGCCGGGGAGCCGGGCAGCACCTCGGCTGGACAGTCACACAGTGACCAAGCAAAGCCCATCTAGATCTCCCCAGCCTCGGCGGCCTGGGCGGCCTAGGCGGATCCTCGGCGGCCAGCCAGCGAGGAGGCGGGGAAGGAGGGCAGAGCGGGTGCGCATCGACGCAATTTCGCATTTCGCACCGGGCGAAGGCAAAAGGAAGAAGCAGCGAGGGTTGGATGGTTGGCTGCCCGACCGACTTGACTCACTCTTGCCGGGCGTGGCTAGTGCGGCGAGGCCGGAGTCGTGATAAGGTTAGAGGATGCAAGCAAGAAGCTGGAGGATAAGCCGCGCTGTCCCGCGGGGTAAAGACGGGACGCGCCTTCGCCGGGTCGCAGTTGTGTGCGCGCTGTGATGATGAGGAGCTCCCCCGCCACCGCTGCCACCGCTGCCACCATCGACGCCATCGAGAGCCGTGACGCCCGCTGACTGACCCGCTGGCACGACGAGGTGATGACAGCTAGCCCTGGCGCTGGCGTCCATCTTGTCGCCTCCGCGCGGGCATTGAGCGTCAGGCTCCCAAGATCATCGCCGCGCGCCGGCGAGGAAAGCGGGTATGGGCGCCGCTCCCCGTGCACGCAAATCCATCGGCCTGCGTTGGCCTGCAACTCGTGTATCTGGCAGAGGTGCGAAGGCCAGGCCGACGGCCAGTAGTCGCAGTAGTCCTCGTGGTGCGTCGGCGATCCCTGCTGCAGCAGAGGGTATATGACGTACATGGTGTGCCCCGTCCAAGCTCGCGAAGCTACGCATCAAGGAAAGACTCACGCAAATGGCTAAGACAATAAGAAAAAGACTTAGTTCCAGCATGGGTCGTGGGTGCATAGCGTGACCCAGGCGTCATCGAAACATGCAGTTGCGTTTGATCATGATGCGGTTTGCATTCGCCACCTTTGTACCCCGAAACCGTGGTTGCCCGTGGTTGCCGCCGTGTCTCACACAGGCAAGCCACACCCTCGCCCGTGTCACGCCTGCCCAAACCGCGGAGTCAGAACGATAAGATGGCGGGGGCCAACAGAGGGCTGATGCCTGACCTAACAACAGATAGACGAGCGAGAAATGCCCATCACGTTTCAACCCTCCGCCAATCTTGCGCCCAGACCACTGTCTCATCTTGTTTGCAATGTGAACATCTCAGTGAGCCTGTCGCCATCCATGCACGCACAGTACGCAGTGTGGCTCACCAAATGCTCGCCACCAACCACCTCGGCGGAGAAAAAAAAAAAAGGAAAGTGCTGCTTGATCAGCGCCGTAGCCAACCTCCGAGGTCCCTCGTAAATACGGCGATATATCCGTACATCTTCTTTGTCTGACGAAGAAAGTGGGAAGTCGTCATGTCGCAGCAGCAGCAGCAGCAGCAGCAGCAGCAGCAACAACAACTTTTTTTTTGGGACGCACATGCAACGATCCAACACGACACGGCACTGGGACCGAGAACCCAATGCAAATGAGTGATGTGACAGTAGTTCCCTGGTGCCGTGGTACCAACTCTTTCGTTTTCCGCGCCGTATGCGTCTCTTTCGCAACAGCTTGCATGTGGCACAGAATTTATGACCCCCCCATCCGCTTCCCGCGACATTTCCTTTCCCCCCCTCATCCACCCTTGTCTACAGTGTGCATATGTACACATAATACATATGGAACATGTCGCATTCCAGCCTCGGGAGAAAAAGGAAGCGCGCCGCTTTTTTTTGGGGGCCGCCATGGTGTGTTGGTTCGAGAGCTTCGTCTTACTCGCCCATCTCTGCCGCCGATCCTCGGGACCGGCATGGAATAACAGTCAAAAGAGGGCATCTCGTGCGACCGAGGATTCCCGACAGACAAGGGCTTGCCGCTTTTCAAATCTCGCTCGCCG